GGGAGCCGCTGTGACTTGGTGAGTAAGATGATGTCTCGCTTACTTGTAGGTTTCGGGTTCGATCCCAATGTTGGCCAAGAAAGTTCCTCGATATTTCCCGGCGTGGTTTGCCCTTGACAATGGTGCGGGACGGGGGGGGGGGGTCTGACAAGGACAGTGTCTAGTCGTTCTTGTGTGACGATAGACTGAGGTGCCGTGTACATATTGGCGTGAACGTAAACGAACGCGAAATAAAAGTGGGCTATGCCTCATAGCACACTGTATGGTTTAAACCCGTTTCACTGGACCAACCGGTGCAGAAAAGTAGGACATTCCACAAAACAACATTGACAATACATCCCCATAACCCAGTTAACTAAGAAAAAACAAATACAGATGCAGAAACAAAGGCGTTAAGCATTTGATTATTATCTTTGTTGCATATTCTGTATATATATTTGCCCACAATTCACACATTTGTATCATTTGCTTGATAGAGACGAGAGTATCCTCGTCGAAACGTCGCTTAGTATCAAACTCAGTAATTGTGTATCCATAAAATTGTACCTTGTGTTAATATGTTCAATTACTAAATGCCAATCAAAGAAGAAATACAGATATCAAACGAAATTACTTTTATTACATGAAAATATTTGTATTTAATATTCTTCACCTCCTTCTTCTTCTCCTTCACCTTCAACAGAATCAACACCAACTTCTTCATAATCTTTCTCTAGAGCAGCCAAATCTTCTCTAGCTTCAGAGAATTCACCTTCTTCCATACCTTCACCAACATACCAGTGGACGAAAGCTCTCTTAGCGTACATCAGATCAAATTTATGATCTAGACGAGCCCAAGCTTCGGCAATAGCAGTAGTGTTACTCAACATACAAACAGCTCTCTGTACCTTGGCTAAATCACCTCCTGGTACAACGGTTGGTGGTTGGTAGTTGATACCGACTTTAAAACCAGTTGGACACCAGTCAACAAATTGGATGGTTCTCTTGGTCTTGATGGTGGCGATGGCAGCATTGACATCTTTGGGAACAACATCTCCTCGGTACAACATACAGCAAGACATGTACTTGCCATGACGAGGATCGCATTTTACCATCTGGTTGGCAGGTTCAAAACAGGCGTTTGTGATTTCAGCTACGGTAAGTTGTTCATGGTAAGCCTTCTCAGCAGAGATAACTGGAGCATACGTAGCTAGAGGGAAATGGATACGTGGATAGGGAACCAAGTTGGTCTGGAACTCAGTAAGATCAACATTAAGGGCACCATCAAATCGTAGAGAGGCGGTGATGGAGCTGACGATCTGGCCAATTAAACGATTCAAGTTGGTGTAAGTTGGACGTTCAATATCCAAGTTACGGCGACAGATGTCATAAATAGCTTCATTATCAACCATAAAAGCGCAGTCAGAATGTTCCAAAGTGGTGTGAGTTGTCAGAATAGAGTTGTAGGGTTCAACCACAGCAGTGGAAATTTGTGGTGCTGGATAAATGGCGAACTCTAACTTGGATTTCTTGCCATAGTCGACACTCAATCTTTCCATGAGAAGAGATGAGAAGCCAGAACCGGTTCCACCACCAAAACTGTGGAAGATGAGGAATCCTTGAAGACCAGTACATTGATCAGCCAATTTCCTGATTCTGTCGAGAACCAAATCAATGATTTCTTTACCCACGGTGTAGTGACCTCGAGCATAGTTATTGGCAGCATCTTCTTTACCGGTGATGAGTTGTTCAGGATGGAAGAGTTGACGATAGGTACCAGTTCTTACTTCATCTACAACCGTTGGTTCCAAGTCAACAAAAACAGCTCTTGGTACATGTTTACCAGCTCCCGTCTCACTGAAGAATGTGTTGAAGGAATCGTCTCCACCTCCAATAGTTTTATCTGAAGGCATCTGACCATCAGGCTGGATACCATGTTCCAAACAGTACAACTCCCAACAGGCATTGCCCATCTGTACACCAGCCTGGCCGATATGAACAGAGATACATTCACGCTGAAAAACACACGATATAAATAATTGACAAATTGTCTAGAATTGTACGAAAAGAACAAAATGATTTAATATAGGTCAATAGGATTTTATCATAAATAAAAAACAACAACAACATATGTTTAGAATGAGACAAAATGAATAAGAATCTCTTTAAATTTCGAAGTCACAGAAACCTGTGGAATGTCTATTAAGCGCTACAGGAATTGCGAGGGGGGGGGGGGGTGGTTAGCGCGTGTGCGTTGTATCATAAGGTCTATCATTGAGGCAACTGGTGTGGTTTCGATTCCCCGGCTGTACGTGACAAGGAATAGGGTTGCCTGTCCAACCTCATGGGTTTTCTCCGGGTCCTCTGGTTTCCTCCCACTGCTTAAGACCCCTGCACGCAAGGGAATTTTTGAAATAAAACTCAACCATATGTTAGTTCACAATTCTAAGGAATACAATTACTGCTTATTACAGAGCAACGTTTTGACTAATAATGACTAGAGAAGCCTAGTCAAAACGTCGCTCAGTAATAAGCAGTAATTGTATTCCATAGAATTGTAACCTATATATTCCAGTTTAATGACTAAATGCCATTGAAACAATGCACATGTTAGTTCTCGCTACACGAATTGGCTCTTGGCCTAGACGATTCTTCGTGATTTTCTGGGGTGATTCCCCATTGTCTAAGGTGTAGGAATGATATACCAACGTCTAGTTGTCCGCGGGACAAAACTGAGCTCCCGTGTAGGCGTTGGCTAGCACATAAAAGAACCTTGACAATTGGAATTCGAAATAACATTAGGCCGTAGGGCAACTGTGATGGCAACTGTGATGGCAACATTTCCCTCATAGTACACTATATGGCCGGTATATACCAATCTTTATTGGTGTAGAAAAATAAACCCCAATTAATTTCAGTTTGTACTTCAAGTTCCAATTCAGATTTGTTTCATAGAATTATATAAATCAGTATAAAATGCACTTACCATATTGTCGAATAAAAGATCAGTAATTAATAAATAAATAAGGAAACTTGCTATAACTGATGTAGTCAGTAGACAAGTTATAATAATAATGATTTAAACACAGTAGTTAAAAGTTTATATATACTCTAATATGTCTATAGTAACAACTAATCTTAGTTACATACATACAAACACTGGTCAACAACAGATTAGTAACACACACTGGTCAATTAGAGATTAGTATCAACCACTGTAATTAAATCTATATCATAATACACCTACAATGTAGATTATCAAATAATAGTAATGTACCTATTAACTTGTCACAAATCGTACATCTAAACCATATTTATAACAAATGAAATAAGAATAATTTCTGCCCCTAAATGAAATGAAATAAAATGGGGTTTAACGTCCTACTGTTCTGCTCCACTGACAAGGGGAAACCACGTCGGAAACCACGTCCAGATGAACTTTCTCGGCCAATGCAGAGATCGAACACCCAACCTCCAGGCTAGCGAGCCAGCGTCTTAACCACCTAGCCACCGTGGCTCCTGCCCCTAAATGACCTACAAGACACAACTTTATAAAACATAGTTTAGTCTTTTGGTTCAAGAAAATATTCTTGACACTTAACACTCCAATTTAAACACGGGTACAAGTATTATATTTTAACGTTTTGAATCACATAAAAGATAAGAGGGTCTGGCACGAAACAGTGTCTAGTCGTTCGGGTGGGACGAAAACCAAGGTCCCGCGTACACATTGGCTTGCACAGGAAATTGACAGTTGGAAGTCGTAATAAGGATAGCCAACTTGTGTGACACTATGGGGATAGTTACGTCGTGACTATCCTTCGTCACGGCACTAAAAAGGAATTAAATGTGACACTTTCGTCTAGGCGTTTCTTCGACTTCACGTTGTGATCAATTATTTCAATCTTCAACTAACTGACTCTGGAACACCGTTTATGTTCTTACTAAGTTTATATAACAAATACAACAAACTACAAAGTTTGAGATACTTTAGGATTAGAGATACTTTAGGATTTATTAAAATATCCATGGTCTGAATTTAATATCCTTTCTAACTCAGACCTAACGGCTTAAACGTGGCAAGAGCCACATACTGCTAGTTAGTTCTACATAAGGCTCGCGCTATATGTGTTCACCCTAGCCTCTAAGCCGAGGAGGCCATGGGTATGTTCCCCTTGAGCTCCGAATAATGTCTTCCCTACGGTCTCATCATGATATCTGAAGGTAAATCAAACCAGTCATCTATTAGGGCGGGACAATTACCATTTTTGGTTTCGCATAGGCACCGTTTTACGTCAACACTATTCTAGTTAATTGCACTAATCCGTGCACGAGACGACTGGACTATAGTACCCTACTTCCAGCAATGGGTACTGACATAACTGTCGGAAAATTAGTCAAAGATAGTAGTAAAATAATGCAAGCTACTTCATTACCCTAGTTCATTACTCTATATTAAACAGAACACCTTTCTTAGTACTAAAATAAACCCTATCGTATTACACTTGGACGCTGTCCAAGCGTTTGTCCATCTTCATTAGCCTAGTGTGGGCAAAACAGTAGGACGTTGATCCCCCATTTTACTTCATTTGAATAGGATTTGATATCCTTTCTTACTGCACAAATAAATAAATACAATTCTTGGCTATAGATTTCACTTTTACTGAACCTGATTACATTACGTGGTAGTGATACATCAATTTTTGACAGCAATTCAACTATTGCAAAGCCCTTTATATTGACCCAATGTTTCCATCAATGGCAATTAAATAAAAATGGTTCATTTTTAATAAAAAAAAAAAAAGATGTTACTTTTAATAAAAAATGAACTGTTCTTGAAAATAAATTGTGAACGGATGGACAGAGGATGGACAGAGGCGTTGACAATATACATCCACATAAAAATGTGGGTGTATAAAAATTGTTTTTATCAAATAGTCACCACAGGATGCAAACACATTCATTGGAAATTGGTCAATTTTCAGAAATTCCTAACTTTATAAACAAAACACTAAATCAAAGATGCTAGTATAAATTTATTTATATCTAATCACTATCAGAATCACTATCGTCATCATCATCACTATCATCATCTTCATTGTCATCATCCCCATCTTTCTCCTCTTCATCATCATCTTGTGTTACATCTTTATTAATATCGGCAAAAAAGTTTTCATCACGACTGAAAAGTTTTTTGGATTTGTACTTGACAACTTTCTTTTTGTTTATTTTGAGATTTTCTAAGTTTTGAATGTTCCAGAATTTAACACACTGATCATGTGAACAGCTAGCTAGTAAAGTTTTATCATGTGTTAAATCAATTCCTTCGATAGGAAAACCGTCATGCTCACCTATCACACCCATAAAACTATTTGGTAAGATGTTCACAGCTCTGAAAATAAAAATTTGAAAGTTACTTCAGTATAAATCACAGGACAAAATTATATGTAATACAATTACTGATTCCCTGGTCTTTATCAAGCAAATGGGGAGCTATGGTGGCTCAGTGAGTAGGACATTTGTTGACTCGCTAAAAGGGAGGTCTCATATTCAATCCCTGCGTTGGGTGAGAAAGTTCATCATGGTTTTCCGGTGTCGTTCCCCTTATCAGTGATGTAGGATGGACGGCCTGGCATGGGACAATGTATAGTCGTTTGGATGGGATGAAAACCGAAGTCCTATGTACTCATTGGTGTGCATGTAAAAGAACCTTTGACAGTGGTCAAATGTCTGTACTTTAGATGAAAGGGTCTGTCACTGAGTCCTCCAGTTTCCTCCGACTGCTAAGTTCCTACAGGCAAGAAAATTATAAAAACACTGAAAAAAGACAAATCGGTGCCTGCACTTTAGATCAAAATGTCTGTCACTTAGTCCTCCTGTTTCCTGGAATTGCTAAAGTTCCTACATGCAAGCAAATTATAAATAACGGAAAAATGACAAATCAGTGTCAGACAAAATGACAGGTGCCATAGGGATTGTGTGTGATACAGCTTAAATAAGTGCCTAACGCCCTAACAACGTCTGTGACAGATGCCTAATTTTCAGGCTTACTCCCATAAATATTCCACTGGTTCCATGTGTTCTGAAAAGATTGAGCATCCATTCCTAATAATAAAGTCTATCAAAGTAAAATCTGTGAAGTTGACCCATTACCTGATTATCCCGTCTCCACTACCAGTACAGACTATATTTCTATTATACGCTGTTATACATTCTACTGAGTCTGGATGACCAGGAAACAAATCACTATTTAAACCCCATTCATTCCAATTAAACAGACTCAATGCTCCATCACCAGTTCCACATACAACTTTCCTCTCGCCCTGAAAACAAAGGCAAGTAACTCTTTCATCTCTTAAAGTATGGTAAAACTTATCAATCCAGTTACCTCAATTCATGTCTTTGTATAGTGTAAACACAATTCTATGGAATACAATTACTGCAAATTACTGGGCGACATATCGACTAGACTTCTCTAGTCTAAACATCACTCAGTAATAATCATAGAATTATAACCTGTATATTTCGTGTTCAATTACTATTAATAACACTGAAACAATTTTGCAGTACCCCTAGTCTTATTTGAACAAATAAAATGTGTTTCAATTCAATTTATTGGAGTTATTTGAGACTAACAAGCTCATTTTATCACAAGAGTAACCACAACAGATTAAAAATAGATCTGTCAATTTCATCATTGCTGATTTAAATCAACAAAACCATTGTTATAATTTAACCTTAACAACTGCTAAACATTGTAATTCTGAATCAAAAACTTCTGACTGTATCGTCATTTTTCTCTTCCTCATATCAAAAGCAGTCAATGTACCTTCTCCACTGAAAAAAAAATACAATAGATAGAGTGATGAGTTACCAGTATCCCCTTTAAAAAAACATCTCATTTAACTTATTTTCAAGAATTATTTTATTTCCATACATCTGAAAATATATATAACTAATTTACCAGTTTTCAGTATTCCTTCCAATAATTATCATTTGAGAGATGGAGGAATTACTTGCAATAATGTCAAAGTTGAATCTCTAAAAGGAATATCAATCAAAAATAGTTCAATTCCGTTCAGTATTTACAAAGATATACAGTGGACTCTTGTCAAATCCGACATCATATGGGATCGTTACAATAAATCGGATTATGCAGAGTGTCGGAATACTCAGTTTTTTTAAAACCAGAAGTATTATTGTAACTTCGAAAACCGGAAATATTATTATAATGTAGCTTCGAATCTCCAGAATGTTATTCCCTTTAAAAATGATAAACCTTTCTGTACATACATTCAAAATTTTATTACATTAATTTTTATTTCATTTAACATGCGTAGGCATTTTGAATAGGTCAAGTCTGTCGTTAATTTATCTTTATCGTCCTCAGTTGATCCAACACTTGTCTTTCTTTGGTGTCACGTGTTCATTGATAATCTGTCGTTCTATGTCCAGGTCGTCGTCACACAGTTCGGATGGATCCGTAGGGTGAACAAAATAAGGTATTCAGGTTCAATCAGCATGTGCAACGAATGTTTCCAACAGGTGCTAGGAATATTTTTACGACTGTATATAATTCGTGGGTATTCTTGAGTATTTGTCACAACTGTCTTACAAGAGATTATAAAATTATCAAAGTAATCAACAAAGACCTACAGATTATACAGTGTTGATTCGATGGAAATCGTGTGACGGGACGGTTGATTGATGTAGTAATTTGGAATATTCAGAGTACGGATTACTCAAGGACTTTCTGGCTGAAATAATAAGGAAATAAATCGGGACATGAAAATGATGTCAGATTTCACAGAGTGTCAAAGTATTCAGAGGTCGCATGTGACAGAATCGACTGTAATGAATTATAAATTTGTCAACATTCAACATTCTCTGTTGACGATATAAACCGGATATGGTCAACAGTCAGGGCTGTCAGTAATCTTTGCTATAATCTTTTGACTGGTCTCTGTAGACCCTTGGATGGCATGGATACAGCTTGGATTTAAACAGTCGTCCATTTAATAATCAAATCATTAAATGGCTGACCAAGCTTACATTTACCTTTAATGACTGACGTCACTACTGGAGACTGCTGAGGAAAGGACGGACAACTGAGGATACCGTATGCATTGAGAATGTTACTTGATAATCGAGAATATGTGGGCGGAGTCATGGTCTGTAAATCAAAAGATCGGCAATTCTTGGAGACGGTGCGGTGACAGTTGATGCCTATTTCTAGTCCAAACTTCCAACAGTGATAACTTTGTTCAGAATAAAGTAATTTTCTTTTTTATCATCTATTTTTGAACTGCTATATCAAGAATTGTTAACTCTTTGTTAAAATCTTAACTAATATATTGTCTTTTTATATTTATTATATCTTGTTTATATTTATATTTATCATATTTTGTTTATATTGTCTTTTTATATCTTTGTAAATACTGAATGAAATGAACCATTTTAGCTTGATGTAAAATCTAACCTTGTTGATAGTAGAGTTCTTTTACTACTGTCTATAGCCATATCACTTATATATTCTTCATTTTCTTTAAATTCATGGATAGCTTTCTCTTTTCTTAAATCCCATAACTATAATATAATTACAGAATTAAAAGACAGGTTGCCAGGCAATGAAACATACGCCCACAGCAACTAAATCGTCCGGGCAGTCAACAAGAGTTGTCACATATTTTTACTTTTGTCTGTAATGAAACTTTATAATACACTAAAATCTGATTAAGAGTAACAACTCATTAAGTAATTATCAGAAAGTCATTAGAATTTGTTTGACCCATGCTAACGTTTAGCATACAAAACATTTAATATCATGGATTTAGCTGTTTAAGTTATCAAAAATAAACTCTGAATCAATGTAAAGTCAATTGAATATAAATATAAAATCAATCATATGATAACTACATGTATGGTCTCTAAAACATCCACAAGATTTTTCAAAGTGATCAAGGGCCATAATTATGGCAGTAATTATTGAAAATCGTTGGAAATCAATACGCTTCTTCGCCTGATGACCTTAAACAATGTGTATAAATTTAAAGTTAATCGGACATTAACTTTAGCCTCTAGAGCATCCACAATATTTTTCAAAATGATCAAGGGCCATAACTCTAGCAGTAATCATCAGAAATCGTTGAAAATCAATAGCCTTCTTCGTCTGATGACCTTAAACAATGTGTATAAATTTAAAGGCAATCGGATATTAACTCTGGCAGTAATTATCAGAAATCACTTAAAATCAATAGGCTTCTTCGTCTCATGACTTTAAACACTGTGCATAAATTTAAAGCCAATCAGATATTAACTTTAGCCGACAGACGGACCGGGGCTACGACAATATACAACCACATTTCAATGTGGGCGTATAAAAACACCTAATCCATAACTAAAATATAACCACAGAATAAAAGATAGGTTGCCAGGCAACGAAACATACACCCACAGCAGCTAAATCATCCAAGTGGTCGACAAGGTTTGTGGCACATATATTCTTTTGTAGATAATTGGGGGCATTTATTTACAAGACAATTTCATACAGATCAGATTATAATTTCCGCGTGAATCTTTTGTTTATTACTGGAATATTCGACTCTTAGTATCGCTTCTCTATTTTTAAATAAAATCATTAAATGGCTGAACAGTTTTAATCTAGTTAAAATCATGAGCATCCGAGGGCATTGATTATGGTCTTGTCATGTTAATAAATGTCTGATTAATAATTTAAACAACATTTAAGACCTAAAGAAAGACCATCACAAAATTTAAAATATTAGGTTCAAGTCAATAGTGCTACTAGTACAACTAAAACTGCTATTTCCAGGCCTGTATACATCATACATGTATATATTTCTATTCACGCCCACAATTCAAACAAAAACCTACCTTGATTTTTCCATCATCATCTCCAGTAGCTAAAATATTTCGATCTGATATAACCATGCTATAAATGGCCGATCTAAAATTAAAATTAGACCTAGAATTAGGACATGAAATACACTATAAATAAACAAAGAATTTGGACATAAAATACCATCATAACAGAACAAATGCCACTGGTGAGTACAGAGACATTTTGTGAAATGCTAACTGAGCTTCCTTATCCTGAGATGGGGGCTTGATTGAGGATCTAATGTGTATACTTCAGATGATATGGTTTGTAATTGAAAGATTGGTAAGATTTCGATCCTAAGTCTGACGAGGAGTGGGTTGCCTGTCCAACATCATGAGTTTTCTTTGTTTGCTTCCAATGCAAAATACAAATGGGTGCAAGCGAATTATTGATGTAAAATTGAACCATATATTAGTCCTGTGTGTGTCGAGTGGGTGTTGCACAACATTCTAGTCCTCTCTTTCTGTCCTGAGGTTAGCTTCTGATTAGCACCTTCTAGCAAAGAGAAGACACATCAGCAAGCAGATATGATAATATAATAATAAATTTGTCTTACTCATGAGCACTTTTAAATTTATTTTTTATTTTTCCTGTTTCTACATCCGAACATTTGATAGATTTATCTTTGGAAGCTGTTAAGAGAGTCTCTCCATTCTGACTAAATCGTAATGCTCGACAAGATTTCTTGTGGTGGTTGAATGTTTTTTCTAGTTTATTCTCTCCCTCGGTACTGTAGGAATATCTGAATTATATAAAAAAATAATTCTGAAATAGAATCTATATTCTACAATTAGCCTAGGATATAGTATGAAGAATAAACACAATGACAACGAATCAGATTGTGTAAGTTAAAAGTATTTATCATTTTAATGCCATTGAATCCCTTACAATATTGTAAGAGATGACACTCTAATAGGAATATCAGTCCAATAATGGTTCAATTTGTTTTAGTGTTTACAAAGATATGTGCCTATGTGGAATTGAAAATTCGTTATGCAATAAGCCTGCCCCCCTTTAGTGAAAAGTCTTTTCTAAATCCGATTGAATTCAAGCCAGGACATGTATTTAGATTTTGTTTTCTTAATTATCAAATGATAATTAATCAGTCTGTGTACATGTACATCATATAAGTTATTAGACATTTGAAATGGATAAATATTATCGCATACATCACAATGGTAGACAGTAATATCAATGTTGGTACAAAATGAAACGTTTTCAGAAGACATATCAGAGACTTGAATCAAAGAATTTTCGTTCCAAGCAAGTTTCAGCGACAGCCAAAGCAAGTATTGATGTTTGCTTCCAATGCATCTAAGCATAAAATTTACTAACAATCACTGAGATTTTATTAAGAGGTCACTCCCCTTAAGCAGTCAGTCATGAAATTTCCCTTGAGTGGCTGCTTAATACTGATTCTACAGTATAGGCAACTTACATAGATACATCACCATTTATAGAACCAATAGCTATTAAATCTTTTACTGGATGAAAACACAAATTCACAACTAAATCGTCAAATTCTATATCCTTTGGTTTCGGTTGGGTCTTCTGAAAAATAGAACCAAAGAATACAACTTTAAATAGGGTGACCCACCATAAATAAATATCTCCATATATCTTGACAATTACGCCACAATATTTATATATATGCCAAGCCTCAAATCAGTTTCACACAATTATAGTCACTAAATAAACGATCATGTTGTACTTAATAAGCTATGACCATTAATCATGTTTAAATAATAGACTGAAAACGGGTTCCAAGAGTCGTCCATAACATCCAGACACTTTTGAGTAAAAGATAGGTTACGTGCCCTTGTTTTGAAATTAGTCTCGCTTAACCAGTCTATCGACCATTCTACGTCTGATTGACAGGTCGGGATAATCAAGACTACTTTTTTACGAAACGTAACAGAAAGCTAGAACAAGAAATTGAATTTAGAAATAAGCACGTTAGGTAGCTCAACAATCGTTTTAAGAAGCTTGTAAAAGTAAAATGAAACTACTGCTAGTATCATGTTCCTGCCTAACCCGAGTGATTCAGAGATATTATTTGTACTAAACCAAAAGATGCCGCTCTTAACGGTACAGTTAATGATAAAGCGATTTAAAAAATGAAACGAACGTAATTTCTAAATCTGCTGTAATAACCAAGAAGCTTAATTTAACTGCTATTCAAAATCGTCAACAGTAAATTTTTTACGGCTGTAATAGTTGATAGATTTGTAGAGAATTGCACGTGCCATGGCCATTTATAGTATCATACTGTCAGAAAGTTGGTCACGGCACGGCGAATGTGCACGCTTCAGTGGTAGTCCCGAACTATCAGCGGTGGACTGTATTTCTGTGAGTACATGGGTCACCCTACTTTAAACCTGCTGTCATCTCCTGAGGGATTCAACTTGTTTTCAGAATCAACACATTAGATTGGAGCAAGAATCGTCCTGATAAGTTCCATTCCATTCAAAAAAGGCACAACTACACCTTTAACTACAGGTCCGGGGGCTGTGAATTCCTTTTCTGTCCTCCTATTGCTTCCCTACATGTACTTTTGATTGCCTATTAACCATGATTGGTTCTTCTGTCAAATATCTCTGATAAGGTGTGTCTGCGATATATCACCCTCGATAGAAGCAGACGTTAATCCCCACATAATTACCCATCAGCTAACATTAAAACATAGACAGAAAACAAACAATAATAAAATAACAGGTTCTATCTATTACCGGTTCATTTGACTTTGATTTGAGAATATAATATTGACATGAAACAATTTCATACGATATGATTAGTAAGTTAGGTGTTAACTCCTATCAAGTGAATACAAGTGAATGAGAGTGGTGTCATTAGTTTTTTTAAATTCTAATTAGATTCATGACGGGCGGCTATTTATTTCAAATTTGTTCATGAATATCAACAGGCTCCAATCAAGTCACACAAAACCTTTTGTCACAATTCGGAGAAAATTTTTATTACTTGAAAGTCATGGTGTCAATGTTAGAAAATGACCGTCTTTATAACTGTCAAGATAAAAATTGACAATCTCATTCATTTGTCTAATTAACGGTGAATTTGTGTCAACACGTGTTGAAAGTTTACCTTCGACGCCATGTTTGTTGATTGGTTGTTCTTTTTCCGTGCTGGAGTTTAAAATAAACGAAATAATAGTTTACATGTCAACTATTACATAAATTTTCGAAATTTATTCTCCTAAACCTGTAAAAGATTATTAAAAATGTTTTACATTCAAAAGTTACTTGTCGTTTGACCTAGTACAGTGTATTTTATATTGTTTATTGTAATTTCGTTTCGTTTTTATAAATACCTTTAAGTAGTCTCTTTCAACAAGTCGGACATTTCTATTGCATTTACTGTTAGACAAACGAGACTATTTTAAAACTCCCTGTGACCGACCGAACATGATTTGAGAATTAACGAAATCAAATCGGGCACTTGCTCGAGTCACTAACACCCAATTCGAGATTTGTTTAACACAACAAAGTATCGTTTAACATCATATTTTTTATAAACAGAATTGTTTTAAATAAAAAATTATATCGACAATAGCATCAACTATTTCTTTATACGAGAAGTTATTTTATGAAATTATGGATTAGGTCTAGGTAGAGTTTATTGTTTCCTTTTGACGACTGGTTATTCAAGGCATGGATTACCGAGCCTGGTAGCGGAATGGGAATCTAGTAAGGCATATCAATGTTGTTAATAAACTAAAAACAGAAGGTGTGGCTGACATTCTGCTAATGAACTCAGGAAGAAAGCGGAGATAAATCAGTCACCGTCAGTTGTTATCTTTATATTAATTAACCATGAGTACTGCAAGTAAAGGTAGAACGGAAAATATTTCTAATGTCTTATTACGTGTACCTATTCTAACCTACGCAATCATCACCGTTTCACTGCCGGGTGCAGCTCTGTTCCTATGTTTTGTAACTGCCGTAATATTTCAATATGAAGACGTTAATGACACTCAATGTAATGTAAGTAAATTTCATCTTTTTCTTCAATTTTATATCACAATAGCATTTTTGTCAATGTCTGGTTAAAGTTTCGGACACCACTTTAACTTTAGATTTTAGATGATTATCGAATGCTGGCTAGCACCCGCCTCAGCTGTTGATTGATAGGCCTATTACTATAATTTATTATACATGTACTTATAGATTAACACGTACATGTAGACCTAGTAGCCTATACTGTTAATAATAGGCTTATAGTTTAGCCATTGTTGTCAATAATGTATATTTAATCTATGCTACGACATTTCGGTCCCGCAATCTTTCAGTCAGATTCATCAACACAATTTAAACAACCATTTCGACTCAGTATGTCAATTTCATGTCATTTTGGTCACATTTCATTTTGAACTTACAGCATTTCGGACTCCCAAAAATATGGCCTCGACGTTTCGGACTCGGACAGGTGACATCTCGGATTCGGGAAGGTGACGTTTCGGACTCAGGAATATGTTAAAATGAAAGGTTGAATACAACTGTCAAATCAATTTATAATAAGTCAAAAAGGATTTTATAAAAATAACATGCGGCTAAAATTTACCGCTGGCCATCAAGTGCAGCATGTGGAGTCGTGGATCACACACTGTGTAGACCTCTTAAGGAACAGCAAAATTTCAAATGTTGAATGTTTATGAAAAGAATGTTTTATTTCTTTTTATCTATAATATGTATATAAAAAAGTAGTTGGTAAATTTATTAGAAATAGGCCAATTCAAAACACAGAAGAAAATATTAACGTAAAACATGTGGTTATTATTAAAAGGCTCCACCAAACGATAAAATATTAGTTGCACTTACACTTACGTTTCTTTATCATCGTTTCCCATAAAAAAAAGTAATATATTTTTTAATAAAGAATAATATGCTGTTGAATTTATTTCAAAATGACCTACACAAAAACAAAAGTAAATATTTACACAACATGCATGTCAACGCGCTGCTTACGGATTATTGTTAAAAATTTCTAGGGACTTATAAAAACAGTGCATGTCATGTAAATATTTGCTTTTGTTTTTGTATGGGTCATTTTCAAATAAATTTGACAGCATGTTAAAATACATTACTTTTACGAGAAACAATGATTATCAAAGAACCGTACGTAAGTGCAACTATTGTTATATCATTTGGTAGAGCCTTTTGATAACCACATGTTTTATGTTAATATTTTCTTTCGTACAGATATAAAGCAATAAAAAAAAAAAATCTTTTTGTAAACATTCTACACTGGAAATATTGTACTTCCTTTAGATGTCGATACAGTGGGTGATCCGCGACTCCATGTGCTGTACTTGATGCCAAACGGTGCATTTTACCTGCATATTGTTTTTATAAAATCATTTTTGGCTTATTATAAATTGATTTGACGGTTGTGTTAAACCTTGTCTTTCAAAATATCCTTCCGTCCGAAACATCACTGCCTGAGTCCAAAATGTCACCTGCCTGAGTCCAAAATGTCACCTGCCTGAGTCAAGGTCATATCTTTTTGAGTCCAAAAGATTGTACATCCCAAATGTTGCAGGACTGAAATGTCATGTAATGAATAAATACCGATAAGAATAATAAAGAGATCTTCACTCTTAGGGTAGATCATGGTGTCATTAATCCACTGAAAAGTGAAACTGCAGAATGTCGAAAAGAAGGCAAAATACATGTACAACCTGATGATGGTCCTTCGTTTATTTTTCATCTATTGTATTATTCTGCACTTTTATTTTTAAGTACTGTGTAAATGAAGAAAATGTAGATATGAATTGATAATAATATGAGGAGAAGCATCTATTTATATACTGGGGTACATGTAACATTTAAGTACATGTCTTTACTCACATACTTATTTTAATTCATTAAATATTTGCTGATCTTTCTTTCTCTTTAGGTCTATTTGAAAAAAATTGTTGATATTGATGTTTTTGTTTTGTTTTATGTGTCTTTTTTGTCTTTTTTTAAGGTCAACATAATTTAGTATAAAGTATTGATCTCTAGTTTGAATCTCTTTTCATACATTCATTCATTCATTCATTCATTCATGGAATTATCAGTTTAACGAGCGATTCCAGAAGAAACACATGCGAGGTTGGAAGGGAAAAGTGAAATTTAAGTCGGTTGTAAAGAATACCTAAACATGCATTTCTACATTTTTATTTGATAATTTTGCCAAAACTATTAAAAAACATTGAGAATTATGTTTAAAATGATTAAAAAGAATATAACACTAAAAACATTTTCAAAATACAGTGAGGAAAACTGATGCTTTTGTCTCCATTAGAACCTGTTAATGTTAAATATTTTATACCACTGAATACAGGAATTCAAAATCTTTCCAAAAATATGTACATATTCGTATGATTTATTGTTAAATTTAAAGAGTTACAGGATATATTCTTGACTTAAAGCGGAAATTACAAATTTTTAAGTTATATTTTTAAAATTTATTAAAATAAAGCCTGAAAATAGATGGTATCCATAAACAGTCCTACCTTGTTAAAGAATAATCCTATTAATCCTATAATTCACTATTGCCAGCTAAGAAATTGGCAAAAATATCATTTTCCTCTTCATTTTCAAACGTTTGACAAAAGCTACTCCATGGTGGAGAATAGAAAACAAGGGAGGCAATTGTGTTATTATTTCCTGTGTAAATGAGTTTTAAGTGTGAGAATGACACCTATGATCGTATAATTGTGAGTTGACAACCTATTGAGCAAAAGACATAGAAATAATTACGTTTTGACTTTCTTAGAAAATTTGCAATTTCCGCTTTAACTATATGCTTTTCCTAGTCGAAACTCCAAAACAATTTTGACAGTTAAAGGGTTAAGTAACAAATACAAAATAAATAGCACCTTGTTCGAAAAATGATGGTTATCAAGAAGCTGTTTAAAATTCATTAATTCAACTGTTTGGTTTCCTGTACAGCGAGCTTACAAAGTTTCTCTCTTATATGTAGATTTAGCTTTGTAATTGGACCGATATTGACATATATTCTAAAAAAAATATTGACTTTTACAGAATCAGCTGTTCCAATAGAAATTTTATTCCGGAATTCATTTTTATTTTAGGTCACAAACTTTGTGCCATCAATCAGTGCAGTAACAGGGATCAGACCACAGACATATTTATGGCGTATTTGTATAGCTTTACACTCGGCACCTAGATTCGCTATAGCTGTGGTATATTTTAACTACTACAAGAACCTCCAACACTTAATCTCTACAAAATATCTCACATTGTTTAATGTCTTACTTCACGTCAACTTCTGGTTTAATACTATCGAGAATTCTAGTCTGGTCGGAGTTACTTACATCTCAAACAAAGAAAATTATCGTAAGTACATAGATTCATTTTATTCCTTGTTAAATTTTGAAAATGATCTATGCTATCATTGAGGCAATATAGGTATAGATTGTGTATGACTGTATAGAATGTACAAATTATCAAAGAGTTAAAGAGCACATAAAGTGACCAAACAAAATTATATATGCTTATAGCTAGTATTTTCTGCATGTACATGTATATACACTTTACAACAATTTCACACCAATCTGATTAAAATTGTTCGATATATTGCCATTGTCAGTCGCGCTAAAACACTTTTCAATTGTTTGATTACAACTTGAATCCGTTTGATTGGCACGATACATCACAGGGACTACACATACAATATGCACCAACTAATGTTTATTGACAGTTCAATTTTATTTATTTGTTGCAACATTTGTTGTTAATATAAATTGATATTTGTTTTTTTTTATATATATAAAATATTTACTGTATTGTTTGCACACCTGTCTCATAGATAATTTAATTTTATTGTATATTTCAGCTGTACATGAGAAGATATTTATAGTTTTTATGGTGTTATCTCTATGTTATATGTTAATTAATACAATATTATTTAGATGGACAAGAACATCAACATTAACACCAGATGTAAGTATATGTACAGTGTGGTTCCCCCTTGTCAGTGTTGCAGGATAGAAAGCCTGACAAGGATAGTGTCTAGCTGTTTGGATGGGGAAAAAACAGAGGCCCAGTGTACACATTGACATGCACGTAAAAGAACCCTTGATAGTTAGAATTCGAAATAAGAATAAGCCATAGCAACGTTGTCTGGGCCAAATTTCCCTCATAGCTTACTGTATGGCATATGTCCGTCCTCATATTAGACCAATCGGTGCAGAACAGTAGGATGTTGAATTGAAACTTCCCTGAAGCATTCAACTATTTTCCCATGTTGTATAAAATGCCCCCCTCCACCCACATTCCCTTTTCCTTATGCCCCCATAGGAGCTTTTAACACATGATTATCAAGGTTTTTTTTGCCAGGAGGACACTATGAAGGGACTTAACATATACAACAAACCCATACAAATACTTCTGAATCAAAGTCCTTTTCTAAATTAACAGAAATTACACATGGAAATATGTAAAACAAAAAATATGAAATTGTAATTAAAAAGAACAAGTACGTACATGTACAAGTAGGGAATTGAAACCACATCATTTGACTCAATGACAGACCTTATGACCTAACACACATTGGTTAAACCATTCAATCAACCCGGATTGCGGGTACGTGTCAATAAATAACAATAACGACAAATTTATAACGTTTCAATAAATAACAATAACTTACAAGCTGAAACGACAAATTTATAACGTTGAATTTGAAAAGTTATTATATGGGACGGTGAGAGGGTATCTGACAATTCAAAAAATATAGAATTGGCTGTCACTTGATAAGGGAAAACGAGAAAAATAGAAAAATCACGTGCATTCCCCCGTTTTTATTCATTCTGTTCTTAATAAAAACATGGTAATGCACAGACTTTTTCTAATTTGTTCGTTATCTTTTATCTACTGACAGCCAATTCTATTTTTGAATTGTCAGATATCCTCTCACCGTCTCATATAATAACTTTTCATCTCCAACTAAATTATCAGTGAAATGAAATTCGATCGTTTGTCTGTTATCGCTCATTACTTCAGTCAGTTATATAGAAGGGTAACTCGTGTTTGTCATGTTTGGCGTCCCTTCCCGTGCTTGTTTACACATCTCCCGTAGCAATGATCTCTGTGTTAAAATTATATTTGGGATGTATTTAACCAGTTCTATCAGATATTTTATAATGACTGACACCAATATTGTCCTTTAATGCAGAAAAGTAGGACGTAAAATTTCAATTAATTTATAGTCTTGAACAAGAAATTTTTGCTTGATAAACACTAGATCAATCCTAATCAAAAATTTGCGGTAGTAATAAACAGCAATTGTATCCCATAGAATTGTGTCCTATGTAAATTAATTATAAATAAAAGGAAATGATCAAGAATGGGAAGGTTGAAATGTTTTGTCAAGAATTATTGTAGCATCAAAAATTATCTTTTTTTTATTTCCAGGAAAAACAGTCATTTAAATGGAAGACAATAATGTTTTTAGCTAATTTCTGGGCCACCATGGGCCTTCTTTATTTCTTTGTTCTCCACCGATTTTACTGTCGACCATTAGGTAGGTAAAATAATCAATGGACAACGGTTTTGATTAGTCTGTAGAACATCATGTATACAATATTAATATAATCAATGGAGATTCTTGTAACTCACTTTAAATGATTGTGGTTATATTGTATTGATACCAACAACATGGCTGTACACATAGCTAGAGGCAAAACAATACTTGTATGTTTTTTAATGTTTACCATAATAAAACCCAGAAAATGATATATTATATAGATAACGTTATTTGATGAAGTGTATAAGGAAAAGTTCTCAAGAAATTGACCTATCTCTATCCGATCTCACTTGTTAAAACAAGACAAAAGACAATAAGAAAATCTAGTCTTTAATTGAGGTATTATTGAAGGGGGTAGAGGACTTGGGAGCACATGTGCTGTGTGTTTGTGTTTCTCCCCCCCCCCCACCCTCCAAAAAATAAACCAAACACAAAACGTACAGAAAAATTATGCTACTTACTGTATTTGTTACTGGTCATTTTTTAAATGGTGACCACTCCCACAGTTGTTGTTTGTATTTCAGAGGAGGGATCAAAAAAAGGTTCCCTCAATCAACATTTTGTAAAAATCGCCCCCCTAAAAAAGTTCTCCCAGTTTCGATAAGAAGAGTAATTTAGAAATTAAGGAGAGTAATCTGATATTAAGGAGAGTGATTAGTTGTGTGTATGGGAAATGGTTCTGAAGATCAATAACTGCGTGTAATGGGGTCATTCCTGGTTTTATAAATGATAATAAACCCCCAATGACTTTGTAAAGGAGAGCGGTTTTCAATTTTAAGGGCACTCACCCCCTTAAAAAAACAATGACTGCTCCCACCACATTCATTTTATGTTCATTAATCTCTATAATCAAAGTTTGTATATTTTTACAATATACTTTATTACTTACATGTTTTAATTGTTATATATTTCAGCATTTAGTGGTTTCTCTGTATGTGAATATATAATCGGTTATACAAACATGGCATATCATTTTACTGCCTATCTAGATTTTAAACATTTAACATTGGCTATGGGAAGCTTGGAACCTGTTCATTCTAATGGCACCGTATCCAATAACAACAAGAAAAAAGAATAATATCATTGATATGAAGTCATGGAACACTGGTGTTTTCCGATATTGTTGTACAATAGATCAAAGATAAGATGAGGATTGAATCAGATCGGAAACATTAAAGAATTAAACCTCTTTGATTGGATCGTGATAAGTATTGAATTGGGTTGATCTTATATATTTATATTATTGATAGGGCAGGGCTCTATGTATTAACAGAAAACAATCACTGGTTTGATTCTAAAAGCAAGATGTTTCGACAAGTATCCTCTTATCTTTATCAAAGTCATCAAAATTTTGTTCTGTTAATGTGTTTCTCAATCGCCAAATGTCACTTCAAGATTAGGCTTTATACAATTGATTCATTGTAGTTCGTATCGTACCATTAGTTTGTTAACGGAAGTCAGTTTCTTTAGTAACTTAAAGGGGAAGACAACGATTTTCAACAAAGTTTCCATAAATTTTAAATATATATTCACGTGATGTAAACATTTAGCCATGTGGCATGAATTGGCCCACAGCGTACTGTTCAATATGAGTGAATTTACGCGACGGCTTTGTGTACTCTGCATTAAAAAAAAATAATTTCCTTGTTTATGTAATCCTAATAAACAGCCCCCTTGATCTGGAGTTCGTCCAAGCGAACGATGAGCCATGAACAAAATAGAGTGATTAATACATCCCAAACTTGTAAGCTTACTATAGAGACCAACGGTTTTAATAAAAATTAATTTCTCGCTTACAAAATTTTTTTGCTTGTGTTATACAGGGGTTTATTTCTGACTATAAATTTAAAATTTATGTAAACCTTATTGAAAATTGTTGGTCTTTGCCTTTAAAGTTTAATTTTTGTCATTATGTAGAACACAAAATCGGTTATATATATCTCAAAGCTGGTTCTATCTATAGAAGTAAAATTACCAACAAACACTGATTGTCATTCCACAAAACAAATCAACATTATTAAATCAACCATTTTATTTTGGACCCAAATTGAAGAGGTATAGTACTAAGATATCTGTGAGTTTACTTGCACCAGAGACTTATTTTCTGATTAATATAACTTACTTTTAAACTACTTACATGTAATAAACACAAAAACATAATATGCTACACAATTACTATTTTAATTAAAGCAATGTTTCATTGAGAGTTACTTTAATTAAAATAGTAATTGTGTTCCATATTATACATTTGTGTTTATTAAGTACTAACTGTGGGAATCATATGTAGGTAGCACATAACTTAATAGAGAAACAGCAAAATCTTGCGTTTATACTAAATTACTAAAGAAATGTGACAAAAAATGTCTTTTGAGGTTACTTTTTATCGTGACTGCAACTAAATTTTATGCACTATGGAGGCTACCCGTTATCTACTTCATTTTGTTTTCGTTTTTATGGATTGAATAGAAGTATGCCCGTATATTTTTTTATATGAGAATTCTCTTTAACATTTTATCAATTTAGTACAAATATTTGGTGAAATAATGTGGAGACGAGTCTATTGACAAGTGATCAAATCATTAATACATACATGAAAAATATATTACCAATATTTGGTGCAAAGTGAATCTAGAGATCTGATTTTCTTTAAATGATGAGAAAATTGAAATTGTTCTGGTGCAATAAGTTATTAATTAGTATAAGAGATTATATATCCGGTAGTTCCTAAATTGTCTAAGATTTTTCAGATTTTAAGAAAACTGATCAATTATCATATCTTCTCATGTTCATCACTGTATATAAATTCAAAATCATTAGCCCTGTTCAAATATAATTACTCTCTTAATTCAGATCAGTGTCCAAGTTTTCTGAAGATAGTACCAGAATAAATGGCAAATAGAGACTTCCATATCATACACATTATAAAACAACAGTAGTCTTAATAAAAAGCATATTATTTCAATAAAGAATAAAAATGATAGATTCAATTGTAAGGTATGGCAAGCTGAATTTGCTGTCACTTTCTATTGATTTCATGAGGCTTTTTTTTATTTTTTAATTGTCTCATGAGATCGGAAAGATAACTCATTGATAGCATCAACCTAACCTTTTTATCTATTTAGTATTCTACATGTAGATTATTATCTGAAGAACACTTTTCGACCCTTATTTTTATTACAGAAAAGAAATTAAAAACAAATGGGGTTTAATATTGAACTTTTCTTCATCGACTTGGTTATGAAGAAGATTCTTGGACTTGTTGTGATAAGTTTATAAAGGTGATAAATCATATTTTTGAACAGGGCTATAAAAACATTATTTACTGGATCAATATCATATATATGTGCAATGTAATGAATATATAAGACTTTTTTATTTACTGAAAATTTTTGATTTTATTTTGAGATTTCATTAGACTTGCTTTAATTTATTTAAACTATTGTCTTGTGAGGTTCCTCAATGAATCCTGTCATGAGAATTTGATTTAATGAGGGAAGAGATAAATGTTTATGGAGTTCAAGTTGAAAGTGTTCCTGACAAATTATTGTATATGATAAAATAACCAGCATAATTTAATGGGAGGATAATTAGGGCTTTTCCATATTTGAATACCAGAGGGTAGGGAATGATTACCCCAACCACTTTTTGTAACTTCAGCCCATGGTTTCAAACTCAGCCATATATGCCAGTCAAGACAGTTTTTCTTTGAATTTGACCAGATTTTCTTGGGACCCTAATGTTCCATTTACACAGTCAGCCCCAGTCCCAGCTAACAATATATGTATTCTATTAACTCTTGAGAAATAATTAAGGATTTTTTTTTTCATTTGGCCAGAATTGCACCCAAAATATTACAAGTATTTCTTTAGACTACCTCCACCAACATAATCCAGTTTATCACTCAGCCCTTGTGGTAGTTTTTTTAAAATGAAATATCTGTTGCATTAGTCAGGGAAATCATCTTGCTAAAAAAAAATAAACCCCATACCTCAGTTTTTGCACAGTAATTGTTCGTAAAGTTTTTCAATAAGGACTATTGCCACAATGAGATTAGTAACAATCCTATTACATGGGCATTAAGATAAAACTGTTTAAATTGAAAGCCGCAGACTGCCATTTCAGTGAATTCTATTAAAGGCATTTATTAACTGGATAGAGCAATACTCAAAAACACATACCTATGGAAAACAGTTATTTATTTGGGCGATGTGTCAAAGATTATTCTCTCAACGTTATCAAGCTAATGTTAATGTTGAGAGAATACCCTTCGAAACCTCACCGAAATAGATAAGTAGCTGTTTTTCCATAAGCATATGTTTTTTTTAACTGAAATATTGTTAAGGTTGAATGTCTAAAAGGGTGGTTCAAGTCAGTTCAGTATTTATAAAGATACGATGAATTGACAAGTATGTATAGCTACAGACGGTATGCAAACAAGCCAGCACCACCTATGAGTGTCAGATAAAATCTTTTGATGGACCTTTTTGTAATCAAATTTTAGTATGGATTAAGACGTGAAGACAAAATGACAATATGTGGCTTTAAATTTACTTTTATCTTGACTAGCTTCACTTTCAGCAGGGTGTTTGATATTCTGCTTTCCTTGCATGCTGGGATTCAGCGAGGCATGGCGTGTGATTATAGAGTAGTTCACTAAACTATTGTTATGTTACTTTTGCTTCTACTGAACTCAAAGCTTGTCTGAAATAAAGATACATAACGATTGTTTTGAGATTTTGCAGGATTTACAGAATTTATTAAAAAGAATTTATTAAACAGAATTTATTTAAAATGAATTTATTAAAAAGAATTTATTACAAATTTTACTTTATAAACCTTAGATAGGAATCGATTATTTTAAATTTGTGTAATAGAATTTAGTAGACAGTTATGCAAGACAGGCATTTAAATAAATACATAAACAATTGACCACCATAGACTTGATATTTGTTTTGTACATAGTTCATTATTAATAATATTGATAATAGAATTTCAAAGAATTTAATAAGAAAAGAAAATGAATACAGTTCATTTGGGTCAAAACACTTCAAAATATACACAAAAATTGTGAGATTATTGATAATTTTCAGATTTGTTGGAAGAAATGTCTTAAGTGAACAAAATTAATTGACTGGCAAAATTTTGAACGTTTAATTAAAAAGCCTGAGTAGAACTGTAAGTATGTAGTTAACATACTATGTTTATATACTGTAGATATAATTGTCATATATTGTTAACAATTAACATACTTCTGTCATATATCGTTCACTTATAAAAAATACTATATACATTTCCAATGGTTTACATCTTAAATTTGTACCAGTTTTTAACAATCCACCAATGAGAAGGTTGTATCCTGGTTTAAGCTTCCATGAATAAGGACCCAGAATTTCGTAGAATTAGGGCATAGGTAGTCCCTAAATAGGATTTTTGTTTATATAATATATGTAATATAGACTTTAGAAATTTATATATATAATATGTAATACAGACATTAGTGTTTGTATATTATATGTAATACAGACGACTTTAGAGTTTTTATATAATATATAGACTTTAGAGTTTTTATATAATATGTAATACAGACATTATATATAATATCTAATACAGACTTTAGAGTTTATATATTATATATGTAATGTGTAATATTGACTTAGCTCAATTATGTTTTAGATGTTTTATATATTGTTAACTGAATTGTAAAGTGCCTAGACTTTCAGAAATTATTGTGGTAAATTTTGATGTGGTCAGAATTCAAATATCTTAAATTGATATTTCATTGGTGGTAGATTAGATGAAATACAAAATTATAAAAGAATTGTTAATTAGAAGTGATGTCAGATGTTTATCTTCATGCATGAAACATGGTTGAGTGACTTGAGTATTTTTAGATGAGCATATACACGGATCCTCAGAATTCTACCATAAGTCAAGTATATAATATGTGTATACTGAAAATGAGCCAGCTAGTAGCTGTGTCAGCTCAGGTAGTAAGGTGCTGGATCGCTAAACAGAAGGTCCTGGCTTTGATGCCCAAAAAAGTTCCTCTTGATTTTTTTGCATGGTTTCCTCTTGTCAGTGGTGCAGGATGGAGGGCCTGGCAAGGAATAACGTCTAGTCATTCAAAGGTCCTGTGTACACATTGGTGTGGATGTAAAAGAACCCTTGACAGTTGGAATCGGAAGCAAGAACTTGGCGCCGGTTTCATTCAGACTAGCTCCAGTACTTGAATTATTAAGAGACAAGAATTTGACCACGTCCATATTGAAATATTATATTATAAATCAAAATCTACTCACATACATGTATAATATATTAGCCAGTATTTATAGAGATGATATCCATTCTCAGACTCATTGATTGAAACAGAAATGCTCACAAAACTTTGGATCTCATTGATACATTGAGCCTAGTTCTTTGTATGAGGATGGATATTATTTAAGCAAGGACCTATATTATAGTATATATCATATGTATTTGTATAAATATTGTAAGAAAAAACATAAATAACAGGTGTTGGTCAAGTACAAATTGAAGAGCAGTTTATTGACTAGACAGTGTTTTTACAGATTTTTACCCATTCCGAAATGAGCTTTGTCAGATTTTGTTAGTAGGGAGAGGGGTTTTACTCAGGCTTGTTTGGCAATCTCATTCAGCTATCTGAATAAAAATATTGTTTGTAAAACAAAAATAGTGTAGTCTAGTGTAGAGTCAATTTGTTTGTCAAATTGTTTTGTTACTAGTCAAAAATTTGTTATAAATGCCCTGGTTAGAGTTTCCTGACTATTGGATACTCAGTGAATATTAAACATTAGACAAACGAAATATATATATATATATTTTTAAACATCTAGAATAGATTGCACTTTAGACGAAATATTTTATTAAAGATTGCACTTTAGACGAAATATTTTATTAAAGGGGATCGTTGGCAAAATGGTTGATATTCTGTTTTAACCATTGGCAATGTTCTCCTTTAATGGATCAGCCTGTTATGGATAGGAGCTAATATAATGCATGAACCTTTATGTGGCCTATATATTATTATTGATATCAATATACAGTATTTTATTTTTTTGCTATTTAATCTTTGAAAGATGATATTAATTTGTCGTTCTACAAAAAGAATTGTTGATTTTTGAAAAATGAATATGGTTTAATACTAAACTAGCTAACGTACTGCAGTAGTTGATGTTAAATGCCTGTCTGTAGAGTGTAGACTACCCATTACCTCAAGAAGGACTGGGTGATAATATTGCTAATCCTAAAATGCCATTGGTCCACATCCTTTGTGTCATGGTTATATAGTCTTATTTATCCAGAAATGCATTTGACATCAACTCTTTATGAAGTCTTTTCTGATTTCTTGATATTTTTAAATTAAAGAGCTCAATTACTGATAGTTTATTATTAATAATAGCCAATTATATCCTTCCATACCAGCCTTTTTAAACAGTTGTGACATTTGATATTATAGTAATATACATCGTACTAGAATTATCTTCCCTTAGTTTCTTTTTGGGGACAGATAGGATTTGTGCTTAAAGATGCATTATGCAAGAGCTTAATCTGCCCATTGCAAGTTTTATTTTCTGGCTTTGAATAACATGTATATTATTGGTTAGACATTTATTCGCAAGACAAACCCATAGTCCATCAGATTGCCGATATATCAAATGGATTAGATCATCGATGTCATTTAATGATTTGTTAACTTGACAATGATACTTGAGAATCAAAACCATTTACATCAAAACACTCATAACTTTGCTCAGAATAAAGTACTTTGACTGAAATTTTGAATAGATTTCTTTTCCATTATCTATAATTTTAACTATTACAGCAAGACTGGCCAGCTCTTTATTCAAATCTTACATAATGCATCTTTAATCATATTAGTAATATACATTGTAATAAAACTCATTTATAACTATATTGAAATTTTAGAATTCTTTTATTTGTGAAAATTTGATTGATGCATTTATTCATTGTTCTTGGAAATTAATGTTCTGTATTCAATCTTGTGAAACATATATAATAATGATAGATTAAATTCACTGTATGTAAGTGTTTGTTTTAATATTTTATATAATAAATCTAATTTTCTTAGAAATATATATAGAGTAAAATTGAAAATGTTTAAATGATATTGATGTGAAATATGTGAAGATGTTATATTATATTTGATGACACAGTGAGCTGAGTGACATACATGTGTATCATTTTCCCTTTGCTTACATAAAACAGGCAGATTTCACTTAAAGTTACATTTCATATTTTCTAAGAAAGTCAAAACATAATTATTTCTATGTCTTTTGCTTAATATGTTGTAAACTCACGATTATACAATCATAGGTGTCATTCTCACACTTAAAACTCATTTACACCGGAAATAATAACACAATTACCTCCCAATTACCTCCCTTGTTTTCTATTCTCCACCATGGAGTAGCTAATTTCAAACGTTTGAATTTGTCGATGAAAATGATATTTTTGCCAATTTCTCAACTGGCAATAGTGAATTATAGGATTAATAGGATTATTCTTTAATAAGGTAGAACTCTTTATAGATACCATCTATTTTAAGGCTTTATTTTAATAAATTTTAAAAATATAACTTAAAAATATGAAATTGCAACTTTAAAGCAATCTATAAGAATCTAGGGTTGTTTTTACTGATGGGGATGGGGGTGGATAGCCGAATGGTTAGCATGTGCGCGCTGTATCATAAGGTCTGCCATTGAGTCAACTGGCATGGCTTCAACTCCCCGGTTGTACGTGACAAGGAGTAGGGTCGCCTGTCCAACCTAGTGGGTTTTCTCTGGGTCCTCCGGTTTCCCCCCACTGCTAAAGACCCCTACACACAAGCAAATTATTGAAATAAAATTGAACCAGATCTTAGTCTCGAAATGACCAAGTTTGTGTCGAGTGGACGTTAAACCCCATTTCTCTTTCTCTCTGATTTTACTGATAATATTCTGATAATTGAAAAAAAAAAAAATGACATTTTTAGGTCTTTAGAGAATATTTCACCTCGCTTGATTTTATACAATCTGATTATAATACAGATCTATATTTGTTTCATTTTTATACTTTCAATGGACTGCACTAAATGAAGATCTGACTTCATAAGAATAAAATTGTCGTAAAATGCATTTGGCTGGACCTTTCAATTTAAACTTTTGCATGTATACAGTCAGTACGCTTCGCTGTGAAATGTATTTTGATGATTTATTGCTTATGAGTTTTAGTTTAGTATTATATAGATATGTATATTTTTTAGTTAGTTTATATATATATATTGTAATAGTTACATCTACCACCTCCATATACATGTAATAATGTTAGATATTGTATATTTTGTCATATATATATATATATATATATATTGCTATTAATATGATTTCTTCCACTGAGCACTTGTATACTTTTTATATCATAATTACCTATGCTGAATTGGGTTATTTAATTAACACTTTAGCTCTTGCACTGCTCAAATCTTCTGTTTTCTGTAGCACAGCATTGCACATAGGTCATGTTGCTTTTGAACTGCCCAAACTTCTCTTTGATGGAACACACCACCACGTCTAAGTCTTGTAGCTCTTGAACTGGCCGAAACTCCTGTTTTCTGTAGCACACCACCGCGTGCGTCTAGGTCATATAGGTCTTGAACTGCTCGAAACTCCAGTTTTCTGTAGCACACCCCCATGTCTGGGTCATGTAGCTCTTGAACTGCCCGAAACTCAAAATAGAACAGATTATTTCACAGAAATTTACCTTCATCACCTAAGCAAATTTGTATACGCCCACACATAGTTTGTGAATCCAAATAAAAAATAGAGGGAAATCCAAAAGCATTTGAAAAACATGATTTGTGAACTTTGATGGGATTTAATTCATAAGAAACTTGATAGAGTGACACCAGTAGGAGTGGTTAAAACAAAGTCATGGGTATTAGGACTTTACTATTTTTTCAAATTTCATTTGTGTAGTTGTGTTACACTTACGAAACGTTAGATGGTTTTGTGACACCCTTGACTTTGTTTTTAACCACACTTAATTTGGTCGTGACACTGACAGTCAGTCCGTCTGTAAACAATTGGATTATAAAGGGATCGAGGCTACAGTTTTTGACGATTATTTTCATGTTTGGTGTGAAGCATTGTGGTCATGAGAGGATGAACCCTGTTCCAAAAAGCGTGTGAACATGATAGAGGCTACAGTCTTTATTGGACTTGTGTCAAATTTGGTGGGAAGCAGCCTGGGCATGAGAGGACAAACACAGCAGAGATCAGATTTGTTGATTGCATCCATGACAAATTTAACCAACATCCATGTTTTCCTTTCGGATAAGCTACCGTCGAGACATGGCCGCTGTGTGGATGTATTTCCATGCTTTGTGTGGCTACCTTTTTATTTTCGGGTAGGCCTTTCACTATAATTGCACTCTGAGCAGTGCTCGAAATATCCCAAAGCCGGCACCATTACATGTATCTTATGTGGACGCCAGGTTAGAAAGCACTGTTTACTGTATCGTGGGAGTTTGGGCGATGTTTATAGTTTCAGGAAAAAAAGATGGGTAAAAAGCCCTATTTATTTTGTAGCAACAGTACTTTTGCCTATGAAAAATGCTTATTTAGCCATGATAAAAAAAACCTTACTTATTCCTCAGAAAAATTTTAATTAAATATAGATTCTTGAGAATGCCTTAATTGTAGCCAGACTGTATTAGTTAGGAAAGAGTGTTTGCTGTTTAGACCATCATAAATTGCTGTAGAATGGATTGTGAGGATCAATGCTAAGTTTGTCTGTACCTCTAGAATTTTTTCATGAAATGAAATTAATAATACTATTCCTTTTCTTGCATTAATTTCCGATTGTTCATGAATAAACAATACTCATGAAAGATGTATTTCTTTGACAGCTAGAGAAGGCATAACCATGTATTAGAAAACATATGATAATGGCATGCAAAACTGTATTTGCTGATGTTTTCCCCAGGAAAATTGCATTATGCAATTGGAATTGGAACCAGTGGTAAAGCCTAGTGACATATCAGACAGGGTGGTTGCGGGCGGGGAATGCATTAGTTTCATTATTAGCTTAGATACTACTTCAGATCCAAATCAATAAATTTATTTGGATTGAAAATGTCAAAGACATACATCTTTAATAATGTTAAAGTATATTATATACATATTTGTTGATTGTATGTCTTGTGGAAACTGAACTGATAATTTAATGTATTAAGTGAATAAATATGGAATTTTTATAGAAAAACATTGTTCATTTTATGTGGTTCCTGTACAAATTAAGTGATTAATTCAAGGGTTCTATCCAGTTCCCCAACTTCCCAGATACAAGGCTCTTAACCCACGGGTAAACTAAAAGTTCCCAGTTTCAATTTAGATTTTCCAGCTTTGTTAGGTGGTGCAGGACGAATGGTCTTGTCGATCAGCTGGGTTCCATAGATATTTGGTAACCATAGAAGCTAAAACTTATTTTGTATTCCTCCGAATTTGTATACATGTCGTAGAAAGCCTGGACTATTAAAATGGGTTCATTCGTATGGCTGTATGTTTGTCACACTTTTTAGGGCACAAATATTCGGTATCTAATTGAGTTAGATGTTCATTAGGTGATGAGCAATTTGATATATGTCGATGCTTCGGAATACGAAGACACCGTTTCTGAGGAAGGGTGATGACATTTTGTGTATAATTACATTACATCAATACCTTGAATAAGATAGACAACGTTATTTATTTTAGGATTGAGGCGGAGGACATCAGTCTCACTGTTGGCATGTTCATATTTCATAACCCGCCTGCATTCGTCTGGTACAGTTTCTTCCACCAACCCAGAGTAATCACTCTGCTTTATGCGCCACATTTTCTTTTCTAACACTATCTGTTTCATCAGTTTTTCGGGAGGAGAAATCTCTGGTAAGACAACGCAAACAGTCTAATCGATTGGAGTTCAGGTGGGAATTGGGTGGGATCTCAAGTTGTTGTATTCACTGGCTGAAACAACAGAAGAAAAAAAACATGTTTGCGGTCGTAAAATTTTCATAAATACTCTGAATCCTCCATATACCCGACGGCGTAACTGAATTTGAACAGGGACGAGTGAAGAGCAGAGAGTTCATATATGCCCCCTCGTCCAAAATCTGGATTTTGTAATGTAAGGCTATATTGCACTACTTTCTAGCTACTGTTCTCAGTGGCCGGAAGGAATTATTAGTGAGCAGAAATTTGGCGGTGTATCTGTTATCACTCGTCACATCAGTCAGTTATACAGAGGGATGGCTCGTGTTTTCCTTTGGCGTTCGTCACTTCCGATTCAGGAAACCTGTATTACTCAGCTATCGTAGCAATGATCTCTGTGTTAAAATTATATTTGGAATGTGTTTAACCAGCTCTATCACATATGTGATAATGACTGGCACCAATATTGTCCTTTAAAAATACCGTCAGTAAAATGTCGAAACAATCCATGGAACTCTTCATAGAGCTATCATGATAAATTATTTTTGCTTGGGAATAACTATCGATTGGTACCCGGAGTTAACTATTGACAGAACTACCAGGACCCTTTACATTTTGTCTTTGAATGCCTCAATATTTGAATGTACAAGGTTTCAGCCCCTGACAATCACATAGGGTTTTAACACCGAATCTAACTCGAACGCTAAATTATTTCTTATACTATAAAGGTGTGACTAGACTTTCTCGACTAAATCGTTAATTGGGGCAGTGTGCCGAATTATCAATTGAATTTGTTTACAATCCCCTAACAAATGAACGTAATCAGTTAGCTGATTTGATCTCTGTGGTGTTAATATATGTAACCGAGACTAGGAACTTCGGCTGTTTTGGTCTGAAGGCTAGTGTCTAAATATCGGTTGATCCATACCCACCTCCCACTAAAATTAAATAATAAAAAAAAACACCTTGTTTTTACGTAGTTTTTATTTATAAATAAGCATATGGAGTCACATGATACAGAAGGCAAATAAAATAACTGTGGTAAATGTACATGCCTCAATATTTTGAATGTCAGACGATTCAGCCACCGAGGACTCTTAACCTTAACCAGTTAACACCCTATTAGTAGCAGCTGTTTATAAAACCTCTGTAGTCGAAACGTCTATCTACCCAATAATTTTTTACCTTCACTTCTTTATTTTACACACTTCGTCAACTGCTTAGGTAACTTTATCCTTGATATAAAAAACTTTTTGTATACATTCAATATTTTCTCACATCCACAACCTAAATAAATTACTCAAGCATAAATCTTGCCCTTTTTGAGAGGATGCCACATTGTTGTAGAACCAAGTTTTTAACTCCAAACAATCCCATCTACACGTAAATTTTCTGAACACATGGGTTAAAGGCTTCTGTGTATAATAAAACTGTATTTGATTTCTTAGTAAAGTTCTGCTGCTATTTATATAGTGAAATCAACAAACAATAGCTGATGGTCAGTATAGATAATTTGTTTTACATTCTTTAAATAGTTGTCCTGATTATTTGAACTTCCCAACCATTTACATCAAAACTGACGTCTGAACATGGTAAATACTTTATTTTTTGTTAATAAATAATTATTTATTTTCAAATTATCTGAAATTACAAGTGAACTTTTGTTGTGGGCAATAGAGTTGGGTTTGGTTAATTAATGCCCCCAAAATTTGTTAGCTACTGCTCATGAAATTAACATCAGAGTTGCGTCATATTATTGACTAAACAGTAACCATAACCATTCAGATGTTAATCTAACAGCAAAATTTTACCATTGTCGTAAGTTAACCTAAACTTACGTTCCGTCTTCTTCAGCCTAGTCGTGTGCAGAAAAGTAGAACTTTTCAACCCCATGTCACCTAAATTCACGTAAAATTCACATTGGATTGCTATCTGGTTTGGTATTTAAATTAATTTGTGAGTAGGTATGTTTATAAATTTAAAATCCATTCCCAACTGTTGGATAACATTTATAAACAATACACAAAAGCCTAATCTTGATTGGTCTACTTTGTTCAACAAATGAGTGCAAATTTTCGATACCATGGTGTCCACAGAAAACTAATTAATTATACCGCTCAATTCATTTCATCCATCCTCATACATCTCATTCGGTTCACACCAGCAACAAAAATATAATACAATATACTTATAAAATTAAATACATCATTTCATATATACACAATTACAACAACAATATACTAAACCTTATCCCACTCAACGCTTAATAAAGACAGGCGTACCCGATGCAGTGTGCTATGATGAGAATTCTTCCAACTGTCAACAAATCTTTAATGTGTTGTCATCTAGACTTTTCCTTGACAAGCCCAAGCCCTCCATCCTGCACAACATACATAGATTCTGAGGAACATTCTTGGAGAACACCAGGAATCTAAAGATTACATGCAAGTCAATATACTACCAATCTAGAGCATAATTAAGAACAGCTGAGTGGGATAGGATTTTGTTATGTATGTTGTTTAATAACACATATATCACATAATAAACCTTAAAATAGCACAGATAATAATACAGCACTCAGTAATCTTGCCCATTTCATAGTCTTTATCATCAAGGGGTCTTTATATCACAACAAACTATTTAAAAATGACATTATGAACAAAATCTGGGTAAAAAGTAATGAATTGAAGCCTATTACTTGTAATAAATCTACCTATATCTAATAATCTATCAGCAGAAATTGAAGATGTGCATATATTTTTGGGAATTTATGAAAATTCTCAATATTACATTACAAAATCACTATTAGGATGGGTTGTTTGTGAATAATTCTGCAAAAACCATTACACATGTATTTGTTAATTACATTAAAGCCTCTGACTGTCATTTGCAATTTTAGGTCAAAATCTCTCTCTTCACAACCTAATCCATGCCAAAATGATCATTTAACATTTATCTAAGAGAACAAAGCCAAAATATCAATAGTAAATAATCTCTTGATTTCGATTAAAAGTTGACATCAAAAGTTTTTACCTGTACTTAGAATGCAGAAGGCTGCAAAACTTCATTTTGTCATATCTTGGTAAATACGGAATGTAATTGAACCGTTTTTTTAGATTGATATTCTTTAAAGAGATTCAACTTTGATAATATTGTAATTTGCCAGAAAATCAAAATACCTCAAATGAAGATCAATAACTTTAATACAACCTTATCTATAATATACCAATAAATCTTAAGCAGCTTAATATTTAGAAACACTTATATACCTAATGTAAAAGAAAAATGTTTGTCTTAAAAAAAAAAAACTACATATACCAATTTTTTTTTATCATAAATCACAGCACTGCACTAAGCAATAAAATACGGCTTTCACTTCAATTTCTTTCATCCAGTCCACTTTTGACATTTTCCCAAAAAGGTGACATTTTTTTTTTAGCACAATCTCAATTTTGATATACATTTGTAAGTGTTTTACTCATGAAAACTACAAATTTAACTGTATTTATTTTGTTTCAAAGTCCAATCCTTTGGAATTCTAATTTCATGGCATATAAAACTGACTGACAATAAGTTCTCCAGGCAGTAAATGTCACTGTAGGCCGATCAAGACTGGCAAAAATAACTAGAATGAGAGCCCTGCAATAAAGCTATTACATTTACATGTCATCTTTATCATCAAGTCTTCACTAAAGCAGATACTATATAAATGCTCACTTTGATGGAAAGCAAAGTCAGAATTATTATACAATTACTGACGATCAAATATTAAATAACATAGTAAGAGTTGACCACAGTTTAATTAAGGTATCGGATATTATATTTTTCACCATGATGCAGCAGAATAAAACATATATAACTGTAATAACATTATGTTAACATCAAGTAACATCAGCTATAAATGTACATAAAATAATGTACAAAGCACATACATGACAAAAATTTTGGTTATTGGGCCAGTTTTGTTTCTCATTTCATAGAAAAGTTATAATACTGTCACATAAAGTATAACTTTTCATGATACTGACCCCTGAAAACAACAACCCCATCTAATATGTGGGAATAAAAGTATGGCACATTTTACATTTTAGATGCATTATTTCTGTACATAAGACCATAATTATTTTTCCCTATGTAACACTGGCATCTATTAAGTAGTTTTTAAAAAGTTTATTTTATTGATTATAATTCTCAATCCCCTTTATTAGTATCAATTAATTGGAGAACAATATACTCTGTCCGTAGCCATTTTCACATTATTAATAGCAAACATGTTGGATAAATGAGAATGACTAAGCATAGGAATATGTTGGATAAATGAGAATGACTAAGCACAGGCATTAGGAACCAATCTCTCTGTACTTTAAGTATTCTTAAATCTACAACAGCCATGCAAATAAGGTCATATAACAAAAAAAGACTGGTTCTCAGATTCTGAGATAATGACTGAAATTATACACAATGGAGATGAGAGATGGAAGGTTCAGCATTCACATTATATAACTAGAGAATCTGAGCTGCTGTCTGTAGACCAAGACAACAATTGAACTTGTAAATAAACTTGTGTAGTAACGAGTCAAGTTCAAATATGTAACACAAGAATTAGTCATTCCTGTATGAATAAACAAATGATACGAGACCAATATAGAGCCATGAAATGTGATATGTTTAATTAGCCACTTTAACAACATTAACAAATAAAAACCTCTGTCTTTTTTTCTGAACAGTCTGAGAACTAGAATTTCTCTTCTGTAAGGCTAACATAGAATTGATCACATCTAATGACATTTCTACAAAGCTGACTTAGAAAAGACTTAGCTTCATTGTTTCAACCAACAGTAAGTTTATATTGAATGTAAAAACACACAGCTGTGGGCCTAATGTCTGAATCATCTGTCTTTTGTTCAGAAGATTAAAACTGCAGTGTCAGAATTTTTCATAAATTGACACTTTCAGTAAAATGAATCCCATTTTATCCTTTACTTATGTATAAACTTTTTAAATACATGTACCGTAAGTAATATTACATAAAATCTTACTCTGAGAATCAAAGGGGGGGGGGGGTATTTTGGTCTTTAAAAAAAGACTTTTCATTCATACCAAAGCCAAAGCAAGACTGTGGAATTCTATTTAGTTTTAAATCAAGTCTAATAATATGAATTCATATTATTGATCAAGTTCATGAAATGATCCAACAAAATCATCAAAATCCTTCATCTTGGTCTCAAACATTGCCAGCTGTGTCGTAACTTGATCTAAAGTATCATTTAGAGTAGTCCCCTCTTCAAACATGGATTGCGATAGCGCCCCCTGACAGTCTCGATAAAATCTTCCTAAATCATTGTTCGAATCAACTCCAGCAAAGGGCGTTTTCTGAAAAATAGAAACAAACCAAAAATTAGAAACACATATAACACACAGTTCTTTTTGTTTTAAAGTTACAATTTCATATTTTTAAAATTTATTAAAAAAAGGGCTTAAAATAGATGGTATCTATAAACAGTCCTAGCTTGTTAAAGAATAATCCTATAAATCCTATAATTCACTATTGCCAGTTGAGAAATTGGCAAAAATATCATAGCTATTCCATGGGGGGAATAGGAAAACAAGGGAGGTAATTGTGTTATTATTTCCTGTGTCAATGATTTTAAGTGATCGTATAATAGTTAGTTGATAACCTATTGAGCAAAAGACATAGAAATAATTATGTTTTGACTTTCTTAGAAAATATGAAATTCTCGCTTTAAAGAAACCTGCCATAATAGGGAAGCCACAGTCTGGCAAAGGCTCAAAAGGCATGTGGCCTTTGGTTTAAGCACAGTGCATCACAGTGATGGCTGAGATAACTCCTCTGGACTTTCCAGGCAAGCTTCCTCTTGTGAGTGAGGAAGGATGGAAGGTCTGGCAAGGAAAAGTGCAGAGTTATTTCAATGGGACATAAAACAATGATACATGTATACCAATGCCAATGGCAGCATATTAACATCCTCCTTTTCTGTACAGACTGGGCTAATGAAGATGGACATACTCCATACAGTGTGCTATGACTCGATGAGAGAAATTTTGCCGGGTAGCCTACTCTTATTTCAGATTCAAACTGCAAAGGTTTCTTTTACGTGCACGCCAATGTGTACATGGGACATTGGTTTTTTCTTCCCATCTAAATGACTAGACACTGTCATTGCCAGGCCCACCATTCTGCAGTACTGAGTGATAAGGGTGAACTGGCCGGAAAAACCTGAGGAATTTTCTCGGCCAACACAGGGAGTGAACATGCATCTTACTCACTCAACCACCATGGATTCCATAGTTGTCAGTAGATGTCAGAAAATAACTCACCAGTTCCACCATAACAAAATCGTCTGGTGCTGATGTCTGACTACTGGTACTCTTATTTAACTCGCTACCAGTCGAACTATTGGCCGTTTCCATGTTCTCTCCACTACTAGAGCATGTCTCTGGATTATCCTTCACTGGTGTTGTGTCCGTCTTCACAGTCTGGTTGTTCAAGAGGCTCAAAAAGGGAATTTCTTCCAGACCTTTAAGTGGAATATCTTTTAAACTCTTTGGTTGGGCGAAGGCTCCTACACGATGTAAAGTAGTAAAACTGTTTGATTTCTCTGGTGCACTGAAGGAAAGAAATAACTTGATTAATCAGACTATATTTAATTCTGAATAATTGACTGTCACATTTCATTTCAAACTACTAATTTAGCTAAAGTCTCTCTTTAAAGTTTTGTTAAGCAATGGTACATGAATATGTAAGTCTTTTGAAATGGAACTGGGCGAGCTGTATTAAAACAATTGTTCAATTATTTGGTATGAAAGGGGTGGGTAGAAATCAAATACCTCTATTATATTTTGATGCCCCCACCCTCTCCATAAATAAACCACTGAATTTTATCTTCATGACCATTTAATTGTTTCTATATTTTAGAATACAAACATTTCAATTAGATATAGTAAAAAGTATTTGCCAGATATATGGCAATCCACATCCAAATAAATCAACTTACCTTTGTGGCCTTTGGTCTATGGGAGGTAACTGTTGTTTGGTGCCTGTACCTATATTTATAGCAGGTGTTTTATAGCTACTCGCAGCAGTAATATACGCATAGTCTGGAGGACTTGTAGAGAATGTGGTTGAACATAAATCTTGACTATCTAGTCGACAATCATCAGATATACTAGCCCTACAAAAACAAAGCAATATCATTATTTTGGAGATACAAATATTGTTTGTATTTTCCCATGCAGAGTTGTCCTCCCTTACACTAACCCTACAAAAACAAAAATTATTTATTATAATGCAATCTTAAGTTGTCCTCCTTTATAATTATAAATACATAAATTTTAGTATTCTAATATAAGTACCACTGGATTATTCTGTTAACATGTATCATGGGAAGTTTATCAGTGAAAATCATTAATTTTTAACCAGACAAGTCAAATATATAGAATAATTTACCATTAGTATGTTCACAATTAATTATGCATCAGTGAATGATCGATCGAAGCGAAGACATCAAAATATTTTTCTTGGTTTAATGTCATTTCAATGAAGGTTTTTTCGCATGACATTCTGCCTAAAAATGTTCCAAATATTTCAAACTTTGTTACAGTTCTTATTATCTTTTTTTTTGAAAGTGATTTCATGTCAGTATAAATCTTCGAAAGTTTTTTGATTTACATGTACCACTTCTAAACTATTGATGGCATCAGTAATGATGTCAATCCAGCTTGCCATGATAATGCATAATATTATTCTCTAATTAACAATTATATATTTCATTCATAACCATTTAAAGCTTCTTTGAAGTATTTGTCTCCAAAACTAACTAATCCATAAAGGTTCAAACTTCAAAGATAGAACTTTGGGGGGGGGGGGAGGGGCATTCTATATTCCAGCAAAAAATTTCTTTCTATTTGTCCTCAGATTATTGACATAACTTGGCAATGGTGGGTCCGTGAGTGAGGTGCTGGCTCGTTAACCTGGAGGTCCTGGGTTCGATCCCCGTTTTGGCTAAGAAGGATCCTCAGGATTTTTTTATATGGTTTCCCTTGTCAGTGCCCATCTTCATTAGCCTGTATGGAGCAGAAACGTAAACACCAATTCATTTTTGTTACCTACCTTCTAAAACCTAGACTGCAAGGTTTTGGTTCTGTCTGTTTCCTAGGACTGCATTCACTTTTAAAATGGTCGTCTTTCACTTCAAATGGTAGATCACGTGTCGTCCTATGTGGAGACATTAATAATTTAGTTCTATATGCTAAGTTCAAGGTTATTTTCCCCACTGGAGTCGGCACAACCCCGACGGTGGATTTTTGGTATCCATCGCCGAGCTGGAAAAACTGGGGTTCACCAAGATAAAATCTGTAACAAATAACATAATCGCTTCCATTTATGCTTTGTTTACGAGCTAGTCTGTATGCAGGCGGAACTCGAGATACGCCGAACAATGATTTTAACGCAATGCCCATACGATTGTAAACACCATAAGACACTTTTACTGATGAGTCAATTTCCTCTGAATCGAAGTCGGTGTACCATGTTTCCAGGACCATTGTCTCTCCTTCTGTTGTCCGTAATGATATTTCTGTACACACATTTTGTGCAAGCATTGACTGCTGACCAGCAATAACTTTTTTGGCCTCAATGTGAACCTCTGGAGTATCCTTTATTGCAAGATTAAACTGAAAAATATGAGTATGGCAATGATGTCAAAACTTTTTTTTAATCCAAATGAATCCAATCCAGGAGGTTATCTACCACTGATATTTCAATTTTGTTTTAGAACTTTTAAGTGTTGAAAAAATTCATCTTAGTACATTTAAGCACTGAAATAAGATACTGTCTGCAAAATGAAAATGTTCAGTTTTTCACAAATTCATTGATATTGAAATTGTTTTTGATAATGCTGTAGTATGCGGTAGTATTTGGTAATTTTGTGGTTGTGTTTAGTATTAAACATACATTGTGCAAGAGCTTAATCTGCCTATTGCAGGTCTTTTTATAGGCCTGAAATGCTATATAAACTATTAATTAGACTTTTATTAACATGAAAGGACCATAATCAACTCTATATGTCATCTTATTTCTCTGGATTTGAATCCGATTTGCTGCTCAACGCTCATGGATAATCGAGACTGTGTTTTTTTATCGTACCCACTTTAGTAATGATGATCGAGGCTAGGCCTAAAATTCAAATGTTAATATCTTGGTTCATAGTGGAGCCATTTGACTGGAATTTTCAGCATATTCTCTTTACATTATCTATCTAATCTTCCATAATGTATCTTTAAGTAATTGTCGTGCAAAGATACATGTAATATGTAGGCCTACTGGTACAATGTAACCTACAAATCATTCTATGTTATGTAACAGTATAGTCTTTATTTACATGTCAGTGACATGCTGTCTCTTCACTGCCTCTGTCTACATGTACTTGCAGCCTCACCAAATTGTATTTCATTAAACAAAAAGTTTAGAACATATATAATCAAACTTAACACAATCTAAAAATGGCTGGACACAGACAGTGATAGACCTAACTACAATAATATTAATTAATAAATTTTAATGAAAGTAAAAGACTATTATTTATACTATAATAAGTGCATGAATAAATGCATACCCAATCTGCTCCTGATGATACAGGTTTTGATTTTGTTTTAATCTTTTCTCCGAGTCTAGACTGAACAATAATCTGCAGACTTTTAAGGACGAAGAAATTGGTAAACTTCTCTAAATCCTTTCTATCTTGGGCAGACAGTCGTCCCGACGTGGACGCCATATTTGTTTTGTTTACGTTTCACAAAAATGGTTCCACGCATTAGATTTACAATTTACGCTTTCAATAATACACTGTCCACTTGACAGTCTTTCAGATACCAAAAACACGTTTCAGCATACATATTCGACAATGGGATATTAATCTATGCTTCAGTGCTATGGAAATATTCATGAAAATCCCCGAAATATGCTTAATTGACCCCTTTCCAGATTTACAGGAAAAAAACTTCCGGTTCTCCCAGAATGCATTCAATTATTTACTTCCTGGTGTCAAATAAAAATATAACATTCGCGTCAAACGCTCGTCAAGTATGATTTAGAATACGTGTGGATTTCTTTGATTGGTTAGAACGTTTTTGTCCAGATACCAAAAGAAATTGGTGCGTCATTTAAAATAACGCTATGCCCTTATTGCTAAACATGTCTAATTTTTGTTCAACAAAATTACTCTGCACTAGGCCCAAAGGAGCTAGTACGTACCAGTCAAATTTTGTTCGAATCGTTCAACACTGACAACAGCTACAGAGCACCTCCCTAACGACACTAAAGTCACCGAAAACTAAAAAAAAATAAGTTGTTTATGGGTTGTAATAGAAACTAAAATGTCATAAATTTGACAATGGTTTCATCAAGCAAACAAAAATGATATCTCTACAAACTACAAGTACAAAGGGAATGCATGACCACTCGGACCAAAGACCACTCGGACCAATTGATAGACCACTCGGACCAAACAAAAAGACTACTCGGACCAATAATAAAGTTTTGTTTTAATAAATTGTGTTTGTTTTAATATGACTACTCAGACCGCTAATAAATTGTTGTTTTAATAAATTGTGTTTGTTTTAATATGACTACTCGGACCGCTAATAAATTGTTGTTTTGATAAATTCAAGCCGAGGTAAGATTTTTAATAACGAAAATAACAGTCCATATATTTACTCATCGATGACCCAAAGGACTTGGAATTTGAGGGATGATGTCGAAGGGTGGCATAATCGCATCAACCAGAAAGCTTAAAAAGGAAATCTACAATTTTATTTGTTGACAAGTCCACTTTACAAAGAAGCCAGCCAACTGCCTCAACAGATGAAAATGATATCAGAAGGGAAATTAAAAAGACACCAAAAAAAACCCAGACTCGTTCAATACAGGGAAAACTTTTTGCGATTTGGAAACTTTACAATGAAGAAACAATCAGCACAAGCCAACTATTAAAGAAATGTGGGTTAATTTACGGTACCAGCGAATAGGTCACTAAACATATCACGGGCATATCAAAAACTAAAAAAAAAAAAAAAAAAAAAAATAAAAATTAATAAGCGATCCTTTGGGTTGGTACGAGTGGTCTTCCAACATAAATTAATTGGTCCGAGAGGCAACATAAATATTGGTCCGAGTGGTCTTCCAACGTAAATTGACTGGTCCGAGGGCCAACATAAATATTGGTCCGAACTCGAGTGGTCTTCCAACATAAATTGACTGGTCCGAGGGGCAACATAAATATTGGTCCGAGTGGTCTCCCAACATAAATTGATTGGTCCGAGTGGTCTTCCAACATAAATTGATTGGTCCGAGGGGCAACATAAATATTGGTCCAAGTGGTCTTCCAACATAAATTGATTGGTCCGAGAGGCAACATAAATATTGGTCCAAGTGGTCCGAGGGGCAACATAAATATTGGTCCGAGTGGTCTTCCAACATAAATTGATTGGTCCGAGTGGTCTTTTAGGTTGGTCCAAGTGGTCTCCGTTTTGGTCCGAGTGGTCTTTTTTTTGGTCTGACTGGTCTTGGTCCGGGTGGTCTTTGGTCCGAGTGGTCCGGGTGCCCAAAAAGGGTACGACGGCACCGTACAAACTTTAATTCCGCTGGAGCCCTTAACCAAAACTGGCAAAAAAAGAAGACTTTTCCTCTTAGGCCATGAAAATTTGTCTCTCAAGATCAGAAGGCCAAATCCTAACAAACACACAGATTTGTTTTGTCCAACAAATTGAAAAACAATAGAATATAAAGGTTACATGTAGCCAGATTAAATTCTATCAAACACAAAATGTCGTGTATTTAAGCCTGGACCCTAGATATAGATCATATGATTGGGTCCAGTGATGTGTAGGGCATCCATTTTAGGCCCAGGCCAATTATACAGTGAAATTTAAAAGTTTCTGATGTGAGATCTCATATTGGGGCCCGGCATCAAACTAAATAAATGTTGCTGATTTAAGCTTTATTTAATTTGAACAAAAAGTTAATGTATATTTCATCTGTTTTCACATATCATACTTAAAATGTCTTCCTTTCTCACATTTCTCAGTATCGCGGGTACCATTATACTTGAGTCTTAGTGATGTGGGGGATACAATCAAAGTATTTTGAGCCCAACCATCACCAATCCTCTAAAGGCGAAGATAAGGGTCCCTGATGAAATATTGTAATTTATGTAAATAGAAATGTCCTTTAGCAACTAGAATTTGAAGAAGACTGAGAAATGCTGCTGTCATCCTTTTACAAATGATGTTGAGATATAAAAAACCTGGCATTCCCTAATTCCTTTCTTATTTTGGTACCGATATGGCCTCATCCATGGGTTCCATTTCGGTCAGTCATGACTGAGGGCTGTGGAAAATGACAATCTAGATTGACACATCACCCATCGGTCATTTTGCATGCCGGAAAAATCACATATTTTTTCAAACCCAATTTTATTATATAATTCTACGCCCTGTACAGAATATTGCATGTATGGTTAGAATATTAAAACTTTTGTATTTGTCTTTCAGATATATGAAAGTCACCATGAATTATGAGAAGGATGTTCGACCTGTATTATTTAATATCAGTGTTCCTTTTATAACTATGGTAGTCAGTATCCTACCAGCCTTTGCTACTTTATTCGCAGTTGTCTGGTCTGTTTTATATAACTTTGATGCTGCAACAAGAACACATTGTGGGGTGGGTATTATATGTCATAGGAAATTATACATCAGCCAGGATATGCTGCCTTCTCGTAGAACATCTGATACAATTTCTAATCTCTTTCAAAATGAAATGAAATAAGGTTTAGAATGTCCTACTTTTCATCACCAAGACCATGTTCCTGAAGCAATAACCACAAGTTTTACAACATCTAGATGTTGCTAGACTGGTCTGCCATTCCTGAACTTATATCTGTGTTATCTCCCTTTTATGCATACACGTGAACGATAGGGTTCCGTTGGATGATCTTGTAGCTTGATGCGTGTGCGTTTAATCCCAAGGTCTGTCATTGAGTTAAGTGGTGTGGTTTCAATTCTCTGCTTGCCTGTGACAAGGAATAGGGTCGCCTGTCCAACCTCATGGGTTTTCTCCAGGTCCTCTGGTTTCCACCCACTGGTAAAGACCCCTACGAAAAAAACAAATTATTGAAATTAAATTGAACCATATGTTAGTCCTGCAATGACCTAGTTTGTGTTGAATGGATTTTAAACCCCATTTCTCTCTCTCTTTCCTTGACAGGTCATCTGTCCGGCACTGCTGACAAACGGAAACCAGATTGTAAAATCCTGAGATACATTCTGGGTCACAACAGGGATCAAAGCTGGCGCCCCTGGTTTGTGAGCAGCCCTGTACTCACTGAGTCACCGTGGCACCAAATCTAAAAAGATATATATATGACCAGCTCTGGATAAATGAAATTATAATAGATGTCACAAAAATCTAAACTTATACATGGTGTTTCTTCTCAAAAGACTTACTAGGGGGAAATGAAATGAAATGGGGTTTAACGTTCCTACTGTTCTGCTCCGACTGGGTTAATAAAGACAGACATATGCCATACAATGTGCTATGAGGAATATTTTGCCCAGACAGTGGCACTTCAGCCTATTCTTATATCGAATTCCAGCTGCCAAGGGATCTTTTACATGCATGCCAATGTGTACACGAGACCTCGTTTTTTGTCATGCACCACTGACAAGGAGAAACCATGCCAGAAAATCCCAAAGAACTTTCTCGACCAACACTAGGATATAAACCGCGACCTCCAGGCTAGCAAGCTAGCATCTTAACTAACTGAGCCACCATGGCTCCCCTATTGAGGGGGAGGGGGGGCAAATGGTTTAACAAGTGCGCTTTAGATCATAAGGCATGTCATTAACTGGCATAGTTTCAACAATTCCCCGCTTCAAAGTCAGAAGGAGTAGGGTCACCTGTCCAAGATTGTGGGTTTTCGTCTGGTCCTACTATAAGCGTAATCTTTAAGTGGCATTTAGCGATTGGAAAACAAACCAGAATAAACCAGTGATTGTTACCCATAAAAATTGTGTTCTATTAATCTACTATAAGCGGATGATTTGAATAAAATGAATACGTATGTTAGTCACAAAATGACATAGTTTGTGTCTAGTGAATGTTTATTTCTCTATCTCTCTCATAAGATTTCCAATAAGGTTATTATTTCCTGGTTTGTTAGCCCTTATTCAGTTTATAATGTCTCATAAATGTTCCCATTACATGCAAAAGAACAAAAGATGCAGAAGACTTTATCGTCGACTGCTCGGACAAATTATGTCGACTGCTCAGATGCAAAATTTAACAATTGTCTATCTGTAAACCTAAATTGTTAAAATTGCAAAACAAATTTTGCACATCAAATTTATTTAAGATATTTGATCGTTCTTTGAATCCCTTGCAAACTGCAATATTGTGAAAGGTGAAACCCTAAAAAGGAAGATCAGGTTCATTTCCATTCGGTATTATTCAACCTTCACTGCAGACAATGTATACATGTAGTATATGGTCAAAACCAGACAGCGCCACCTATAATTTTTGCTGTAGTCTTTTGACAGGCCTTTTTTTAATCCAAGTGAATCCAAGCTTGGAAATTTTTTACCATTGATATATTAGTTTTATTTTCTTAGTGAATTGTTAAATAAATAATATAGGTACATTTTTAGCACAGATTAAATGAAATGAAAAGGAGTCTCTTGCTAGGCCCTCCGTCCTGCACCACTGCATGCCGGAAAATCCTGATGAACTTTATCAGCTAATACTCTGATCAAACATGCGACTCACCGAGCCACCGCAGCTCCCAGTATGGAGTAAGCATTGAAAAATGTAAATGACGATCATCGACTTTAAAATAATATTTTTATTGATTATCCAATTCGAAGAGGTCATGTTAATTTAATATTGTTGAGAAATTGAGAATATAATTGTTTGATTGTGTTATTATATTTACAGGTGTACAACTTCCTACCCTCTATCAGTGCAGCGATTGGTCAGTTTTCTCCACAGAAATACATATGGAGAATTTGTATAGCATTACATTGTGGGCCAAGGTTTCTGTTAGCCCTGTCATATTATAATTATCATACATCGATAGATACGGGCAAATATGATCAACTTTATAAAGCAGGAGCAGCCTTATGTTCGTTATTACATATTATAGAAAATGTAGCTTTGGTTGTTCTTAGTTATATATCCTCAGATGATAATTATGGTATGTTATATTTACTAAACAGTTCATCAAATTTGATAAGAGTTTTTAGACACCACTAACCACTGTGAATGTGAACGTATATTGTCGTCACCTACAAGATTTACCCCTATAGCATGTGTACTGCCCAAAACTACTGCTTCCTTTACCACTTCAGGGAACACCCCACCGGGTGGGACATGTAACCCGACTTCTAATCATGTGGTAAAATTGGGGAATCACAACCATGCCACTTGACTCAATGACAGACCATATGATATAAAGTGCAAACCATTCCCCCCACCCTCATTTCATTTTTATGATACGGGAAAGGGGGCCTGACAATGATATCCATCCATTTGTTGGGTTAGGATAAAAAAAAAAACGAGGTCTGTCAGTGTGCGTTGGTTCTTTCCTGGAGTTTTACGTCCACTTTCACCTAGGGTGATATCGTAGACAAGCCCCCTGTCTGTCTATATACTCATTGGCAATTTATTTTACTTTGTTTGATTTCAGCTATTCATGAGAATATGTTTATAACATTCATCGTGACATCCATTCTTTACATGATGTTGACTTGTTTTCTGTTTTCATGGGGAAGAACCCAGAATGGGAGACAACTCACTAGATTGGTAAGTGTTCATATTAAAGACCTACTGTCAACTCTCAGCAGTTGAATAAGTATAGGTGGAAACATTGCTGTCCAGACAAAATTTCCCTCATAGCACACTAAATGCTGTATGCCAATCTTTATTAACCAGGATTTCATTTATTTAAAAGCAGGAACTAATTGTTGCTTACGGATGAAAGTACAGATTTTGTTGTTTTAGTGAGAATCCTGCTTCTTCCACTCCCATCTCCATGGAGTATAATTTTAGCCACAATACTAGATGTAGTTTGCAGGGTAACTGTCATCCTCAAAAGAATCGATACCTGCCATTTCCTGATATCAATTTGTGACTTTCATTATCATGGTTTTGTATCTACTAGACGCTTCCAATTCAACGAGAAATCTTTAATGAGTTACCTGCATGCCTTTACTTTAACACAGCAGTATATAATCAATGAGAATGTTTTTATTATTTTTGTGCAAAGGGTCGATATCTGAAAAGGATTATTTAGAATATCAATGGTATTGGTAGATAATCTGCAGGTTTGATTTGAATTCAGTCGGATTGAAAAGAGGCCCATCAAAAGATTTCAGCTAAGACTTATATCGTATTCAGATGATGTTGAATTTTTCAAAATTATTTATATCATTATTTACATATTTATTTATTTTTTTTACAGGAAAAGAAGTCACTGAATTATAAAGTTTATATTTTCTTCTTCAATATCAGTATTTTCTTACTTTCACTTTATTTCTTCTTCCGTCATAATCGTCATTGTGAGCCTAGAGGTAGGTGACATGTTTAGTTTATTGTCATTAGCAATCTTGAATACCCAAAATGTTGTCTAAATAGTTTTGAACAATAGGTTACAATTTGTATAATTTTACATTAAATGATCAGTACTTTCCTCATCTAAAAATGTAATCTTTATTGGAATTTTTCTGAAATCATTTAATAATTGTGCTGCCATTTCACCATAAGTTACAAGTATGTATAAGTTCTCCTGCTTCCTCACTGCTCTCTGATTGACTAAATAAGGGGTTGCCAACTTGCAACTTTGTGTGAAACAAGGCCTGATGAAAGTTTAGAACTTATTCATTTATTTTATACAATGTTCCAGTACTCTGATAGTTATCAAGCAATATACCTCTACTTCTAAATGTCATTTAAAGATCTTAATTTATTATCAGATTTTACAAGGCATTATATTCTCCATAATCTTCATTAGCCCAGCTAATGCAGAACAAGAGGTCATTAAACACCACTTCATTTCTCCAGTTGAGTAAAGCACGAGCACACTAACTAAACATTATTTAGAACAAAGCTTGATGACGAGTTATTTCAGAATTTGAAATAGATTAGGTACAAGTGATAAACCTGAAGTTGTCTGGAAATAGTGGTAATCTGGAAAAATTATCTTAATTTTGTAACCTATTGTTCATCTTTGTTCATGAATGTAAATTGTATCAATATTCCAGCTTCTATATACAGACTGTTTAGAATATTTTTTCGCACACTCACAATTCCTGCATTTCTTCTATTTAATTCTGGTCTGCCAGAAATCATGAATTGTACTGAACAAAAAAAAATAACAAAAATAACATAAAAACCTTTTGGTTATTGCACATGTATTCAGTATTGTTTGTTAATATTTATGTGTTTTAGATGTTTAAGTAAATACTTTTGTCAAATACATCTCTGAAATAATGTGTTAGTAGGTGGACAGTGTCCAAGCTCAAGTTGGTCATTTTGGTGGATATTTTTCTTCTTCGCCATGAACAGAAATAAATTTTTGTGGATAATTTCTTCTGCTTCTTGAACAAAAATAGATTTTTGTGGATATTTGCTTCTACATCATGAAATGAAATAGATTTGGTGTGTCAACAGCCTGTTAGAATATTCTGCATGAATAAACTTAGATATTAATCCTCAATAAAACACTAACACTAGTACTAATATATATTAATAAAATAGATTTTTAGCAATAACTGATATAAAATGGCTTAAATAATGCTGAACATGTCATTGAGTCAAGTGGCAAGGTTTTTATCCCCCGCTTAAAAGTTTTTCTCTAGGTCCTCCGGTTTCCTCCCACTGCTAACTAAAGACCCCTACGCGCAAGAAAATTAATGAAATAAAAATTCAACCATATGATTTTTCCCGAATGGACCTGGTTTGTGTTGACTCGAGTGGACGTTAAACCCCATTTCTCTCTCTCAATTGGATGTGAAATGTGAACTATTGGCCTGGAAATAATGTGAGAAAATGTCAGAATTTCTTGCCGGATGTTTACCAAAACTTTGAAAAAAAGATAAAGTCACATGAGCATTTGTACCTGACTATGCCTGAAATTGTGTCTGGTATTGTCAGGAACCGGTTATTTATTTCCAGACATGGAACTCTTAAATTGGTTTATTTAGTGGATTATTACCATTAAGCTAGTTTTTTTGTGTTGATTCAGCAGAGTCAGTAGAGCTATACCTGCATGTGTGTAAGCATGAGGTCTGTGTGCAAATGTACAAGGGAACAACAGAGAGGAAATTAAACAACATTTGACCTCTTCTTGTTTGATAAAAATTGGTAGAAATGTTGATTTGCACACAGTTGAATGTTGCAGAGTCCGCACACATTGTTGTAATGGAATGAAAGTGGAAATAGATTGATTGTAGATAACATATAACAACATAACATAACAAACATAATATAATAACAAAACAACATGACATAATAACATAACAAACATAATATAATAACATAAAATATATTTCCGCGGTCATAAAAGACCATTTTTCCAATACACTAATTGCTATCGTTTTATTTTCGTAAATTGTCCCAAAACCATTTAGTGTCTTGAGAAGTAAATAATTTCATTTTCCTCTGTCCCAATACCGGATGTACATTAAAATTCTGGTCGTCTCATTCTGATTAGTCTACATTCTGATCACTAAGAGGGAATTCCCTTATGACGACTCCCAGTGAATCGATGACACTACACCACAAACTAGGACGTATTCTGCAAAAAGATCAGAAACAAGCTCCCTCAATAATACAAATTTCCACTGCAAATAGGTCCAAATAATATCAAAATAGATAATATTACATAAATATGAACCGGAAAAAACAGAATTTCTTAACATATCATTTTGAAACTTTGCATACTTATTCTTTATACCCTAAGGAACATCCCCATTGTTTGTGGTTCATGCCCAACCTTTAAGGGCAGAGCCATGCCCATTTTCTTTTTGTGTGTTTGTGTTTCGCCTACAGGCCGCAATTCTTAAACGATTGTCTTGAAAACTTTTCATACTTATTCCTTATACCCTAAGGATGACCTCTATTGTTTTTTTGGTGATTGCCAAAGCCACACTCAATATTTGTGTGTGTCTTGTGTTTTGCCTACAGGCCACGATTCTTAATGGATCGTATTGGAACTTGGCATATGTATTCCTTATAGCCTAAGGACAGCAACTATTGATTTTGGTGCATATCCCGACCCCCAGAGGCAGAGATGCACCCAATTTTTGTGTTTATCGTATACAGGCCGCAATTCTAAATGAATGCGCTTGAAACTTGGCATATTTATTCGTTATGGCCTAAGGGCGGCAACTATTGAAGGACCCAATTCTGAATGGATTATCTTGGAACTTGGTATACTTATTCCTTATACCCTAAGGACGGCAACTATTGATGTTGGTGCATGATTCCAACAGGTTGCAATGATTAACAGGGTGGTACCTATTTATATTGATCCATATCCAACCCCCAGGGGCATAGCCACGCTCAGTTTTTGAATGTATCGTCTACAGACTGCAATTCTGAGTGAATCATCTTGGAACTTGGCATGCCCCGGCCCTGACCCACTTTTTTTTTATTAACATTTAATCTGTAGATTGTCATATTATAGTCATGGCAGCCATTTGATTTTTATTAACATTTAATCTGTAGATTGTCATATTACAGTCATGGCAGCCATTTGATTTTTCATTCTCTTCATTTTAAATAGTACCATATCAATCAAAGCAGGAATGTGGACGTATACTGCAGCGTTAGCAATGCTCTCATTCCATTTTGTGAAACGGAAAATCATCACCCCTACATAAAAAAGTTTGTCACCAATTTTTGACTACGCAACAATATATCTTTGAAGGTATTAAAAAGTGAAGTAATATATTGGAATTTGAACAATGAAATCAGAAAATCAAAGACTTTTAAAATTGTGAGGAGGAATATCTTAATCAACGTTTTTGGCAAGAATTCTTAATATCATTAAATGAAGAATGTTAAGCTTTTGTTTAATGTTTTATTATTTTTCTTTACAGTTTATTCTGTATTTGCAGCTTTAGAATATGTTGTAGTATTTTCAAACATTGCCTTCCATGCCACACTTTATTTTGATGTACCCAATTACACATTAGCTCTAGGAGATCATACACTGTTTAGAGCGGATAGCAATTCAAATAAGTTATTGTAAATACCAACAGGTTAGTATAGTTTGCTGTGTGTATAATGCAGTGAGATACTGTGCATAATGCATTGAAAGTGTGTTCAAGTTCAATGATTTAAAAAATGAGGGTCAGCTAGGGAGGGAGTGTCAGGGAGGAAGAGCAGGTTATACCTTATACTCAAGAAATTTAATGTCGCATTACTATTAATTTTGTACATGCTGCCAATGGTGTACACAGGAATTTAGTATTCTGTCCTGTTCAAACATCTAGAACTTTTCCCCTTGACAGGCCCCCCAAATAGAAATCAGACTGGAAAATCCTGAGGAACTTTCTCGGCGAGCACTGGGATCGAAAACCAGGACCTCCTTGTTTGGGAAACAGAAATATACTCTTAGACATCTTGTCCCCATCTCTCCCCACCCCCCACTTGTGGGTAATAGAAATAATTGTTTGAAATTTGATTTGGTTCTACTAATTTGTAATTACTAAAGAAAATTCTTCATGTTACATTTATTTTATTTCATTTTTTTTTTATATGGACAATTCCTTCAACTGCAAAAACTATCAACATTACCAAGCTTAAAACCTGCACAGACGAAACATAATTCGATTACCTTATTGACGCATGTAGTGACTGTCCAAGGAACAAGACTACGTGGGGGACACAAAAATCATAATATATTATATGGTTAGGGGGTGACCAGCAGTGGGCTGTACCCTGATGCTGAGAAATTTTGAATGCTGTGGAACAAGCCTCGATTTATAGCATATCTAAATCCATTTTATATATTTCACACTTTTTGTCCATTATGAGCTGTACTAACAGTGTTGAAAAAGTCGTGATTTTTATCCATTTGGGCCGAGGCTCACACACTGCAAAGCACATCATTGCATCCTTGTCAATTAGTCCCTCACCTTGTCATGAAAAATATAGCAGCTTGCATTGAAACTGAAGTAATATATGTTGAAAATCATGCTTCAAACAAAAATCACAAAAGTATCGAAATCTACAAATAAATAATCGTCAAAACCAATCTTCATATTTTACTTTACATTTACATTCTTGATTAGAGGAAGCCATGATGAACTATTCTTATTGGTTAAAAACACAACCTTACGTCAGATGGATGTTGTCACATTAACCTTATAGTATGTTTAATATAATGGATACGAAATGAGTATGGACAGAAAATTTAAAAAAAAAATAAAACGTATCCTTTTATATAGGGAATGTTGGATCAGAAGTTAAAAGGATAAAAGTTCTCTTTGTCACCTATAGTGTGATTTGGCTTTAAAAATTCCTCATACAAGATAATAATAAGGCATAATTATAATAATTAAAACATTACTTTTTTCCATTAGTCTAGATTATTTTGTCGTAAGTTTAATCTTTGGAATTTCCATTTTAGTCTCAGGTTTTAGAACCATCATCCAGACAGAAAAGATTTTATTTACCCGTATTTTAAAGCAGCTAAGTCTCAGTATTATCCAAAGTCTTCGACTTTGAAAAAAAACAAATTATTTGCCAATGTAAATCAACATTGATGGTGTGATCTTACCAGGAAAAGCTGGGCTTCTGATATCCAATATTTAGGACAAAATATAGTCTACATTTTACCATTGGTACACAAATTGTGTAGCATAATGCGTTTCAGCTCCATTTGTAACAAAGGACTCAAAGAATGAGGCTAGACATATTGCACAAGTCATGTCAAACGATGATGCCATATTCTTTTCTGGAGAGCGTGCACAATAAATACTACTGGTGTAGACTGTAATAACCAGATGCTAGAATTTGCCATTCGATTGAGACTTCTGGCATATTTTGCCGAACATAACAGATTAGAAATTACAGTAAAAACAGAAACTATTGACTGTAAATTAATTTATATACATTCATATTATGTTAATTATATGCGTTGCAACCCATTTGTGTCAGGGAGATCTGTCATTTTGTCAACTGGCGTGGTTTTGATTCCCTGGTTGTATGTGACAAGAAGCAGGTTTTCTTCGAGTCCTCCGGTTTCATCCCACTACTAAAGAGCCCTAAGCGCAAGCTGAACCATGTGTTAGTCCCAAAATAACCTAGTTTGTGTCAAGTGGACGTTAAACCCCATTTCTCTCTCCCCCATTTGTATCAGTTTCTATTAGCGATTTAGCTCCTTTAAGCCATACACGGTGCTCTGTGCAATCTTAATTTTTTGGGTGAATAGTCATTTTGGTGGTGGTTTGCTTGGACATTTGCAGTGGGTTTTGTGTGAATGGATTTTTTAAATTATTTTTGATATGAATATATGAACAAACAAAGGTGAAAAGACTATAAATATATGTTTCACTTTTATATCTCAAATGTGAAATGCATCAATATATAACAAGGTATAACAATACATATAGGTAACTGTGCTTTGTATAAAAATTTCTAAAACTTTTCTGGTTCTGATCTGATCTCAAAACAGAACTCTTGAAACTATTGGTCCATAGAAATGAATAATTGTCATGTAAACAGGAAGGCGCTTGAGGTTTCAAAATGGTATTTTACACTAATGCCAATATCCGAATACACCCCAATACAATCTTGTCTCTCACTCCTTTCATTAAAATGAAATAAAGGATGGAAATCAAAGTGGTGTCAACACAATACTTGGATTATTTTGAGAGTAACATACCCTTGGTTTGATTTCTGTGGCCATGTGTCGTTGCTAGGGAGGAGACATTTCACTGAAGTTCACACGGGTGGACTTGGATCTATTTTAAATTCTGTCAATACATACTAAGCCGCATCCTATAGTATGAAGAGTTAGTAATTTAGACATATTGTTTTGTACAAATCTAAAAATCCAATAGGCAGTACACTATACATGATATTATGGACATAAAGTTATTGGTACTATGTAGTAAAATGTGAACAGAATTTCATTAGTGCTATATGATGAGTCAGATGTGCCCAGTGTCAATGCCACATTGAAGTACTGTGAAACCAGGGCCTATTTTAACGTGCCTACAGGCAAGGACGTGCCTTTCGATAAAAAAATCTGTGCTTTGAAAATCTGAAATTTGGGTTTTGAAAAAATATTTCGTAGCCTTGTGAATATTATATGAGGAAACTGAGCTGTCATTATGATCACTTTCGATTTCTGTTTCAAAAGTTTTATATTGTTGACGTATCCCAAGCTTGATCTATATTTAAACGTCAACTATGGACATGAATTGTCTAATTGTTTACAAGCTGTATGTAAGAATGTATTTTAAAAATAGAAGATGCATGTCACAAGAAGTTGCCTTCATTTGAACCATGCTATAGTTAAGTGTACAAGTATGTATTGTATATACTTTGTAGTATAGTTTATGTTGTGATATTACCCCCACCTTTATAGTTAAAATTTCCCACCTTTAATTGTGGTTTTAAATAAATTCACCATTGTTGTTTAAATATCTCACCATTAGAGCTAAAATTGTCTCACATTTAAGCCGCGGTTATATCTTACGGTCACAGACGTAGTTGACCGTTGTCATGGATGACTGTAGTTGACCGTAGTTTAAACTTCAAGAATTAAAACAGGGTCCAGACGTCCTACTGTTCTGCTCCAACTGGACTAAGGAAGACAGACGTGCCATGCCATGTGCTATGGATGTTGTCCCTTGCCATGGCATTATGACCTGCACCAGTGACAAGGGGGAACCACGCTGAAAAGTCCTGATGAACATTCTCGGCAATGCAAGGATTGAACACCAGCGACGCCCAGGTTAGCGAGCTGGTGTCTTACTCACTGAGCCACTGTGGCTCCCATACCTATGATTTGACTGTGGTTAGCCCAAATACTTTCCAAATTTTTAAAATGTCTCTATGCCAAAATACTGTTACTATAGTTGGAATGTAGTTGACCCTAACTGACCCTACTTGACCGTAGTGTTTACTGTTGTTGACCATAGTAACATGGCACTAAGCCAATCTACGTACTTAACAATTCTTCCAGCTAGTTGACCGTGGTGGCACTACAGTGAACTACGACAAATGAACTACGGTAAACTATGTGCATTAAGCTAAACTAGATGTTTCACCGTAAGAGTTGACCGCAGCTTTAGAGTTTAAATTGTCCAATCACAAAAGGTTGAAAGTAGTTTTCTGTTTCTGGGTAGTTAAGACGTATTATGCCGTCGGCCCTGTCCGTTCGGACGACCGTAAACAATTTGTTTGTGGACACTCTACAGGTCGCAATTGTGATATGAATGTGACAAAATTTAAAATATAGTTCTATATCCCAAAGATCTTGGTTCCTTTCGATATTGCCGAACTTAATGGATTATGGCCCTTGATTGTTCGAAAAATCACATTTTTTGCTTGTAGACACTCTAGAGGTCACAATTTTTATCTGATTTTGATGAAACTTGAAATGCATGTTTAGGACTCGAAGATTTTGTTTCCTTTTGATATTTGGGCATATCGGATTGTAACTTCCTGAATTATGACCCCTGATTGTAAGAAAAATCACGATTTTAGCTTGTGGATTCATTAGAGGTCACAATTTTTTATCCGATTTTAAAACCCGGTTAAATATATCACCATTCCACCATATTGAAGGATGAATTCAAATTTGGGGAAAATCGAAATGAAACTGCCCGACAAAATGGCCTCTCTTTGTACGCAAATTGTGTAAAAGTATGTTATACAAAGGTTGTGGAACATCTAGAAGTCACAATTTTTATCCAATTTTGATGAAACTTAAAATATATCTTTATATCCCAAAGATCTTGGTCCCTTTTGATATTTGCACATTTCAGACCATAACTTTCTGGATTATGGCCCCTGATTCTACAAAAAATTGCTTTTGTTTTTAGCTTGGTCTCTATCCATCTCTTGCAAAATGTGGGCATATCTTGCCTGGCATCCGCTGGTGGTTTTTTTTTTTTTTGGCTTGTTCTCTATCCATCTCTTGCAAAAAGTGGGCGTATCCTGCCTGGCAAACACTGGTTATACGCCCAAATTGAAATGTGGTAGTATGCTGTCATCACCCCTGTGACGCTCTAGAGAGGCTAAAGTTAATGTCCAATTGACTTTAATTTATACACAGTCTTTAAGGTCATGAGACGAAGAATCCTATTGATTTTCAATGATTTCCAATTACTACTGCCAGAGTTATGGCCCTTGATCACTTTGAAATATCTTGTGGATGCTCTAGAGGCTAATGTTAATATCCTATTGACTTTAAATTTATACACAGTGTTGAAGGTCATGAGGCGAAGAAGCCTATTGATTTTCAACAATTTATGATAATTACTGCCAGAGTTATGGCCCTTGATAACTTCGAAAAATCTTGCACTAAAAGTTAGCATGGGGCAGAACTAGAAGCCAAACAAATTCTAATGATTTTATGATAATTACTTAATCAGATTTTAGTGTGTTATGTATGTTTTATTATCGACAAAAGAAAAATTATACGACAACACGTTGGCTGGCAACCTATCTTAATTATCACAGTAGCCTTTACTGTAAGATTTTGTAGAAGGTATGTTAATGAAAATAAGTCTCTAAACTTAAAATAACCTTTCACAATTCACTGCAGAACCTTTTCTGATTTCACGGACATAGGCGTACGAGCTGGGGGTGCTGGGTGAGCGGCCGCCCCCCCATTTTGGGCACCAAATGCTGGGAAAATTTGGGCACACAATTGTATTTTGTAAAAGTTGTATAAAAAAAGATATTGTGTTCTTGAATGTGTCCAATTTAACAGCGAATTTATTATTATTATGTAACATACTAAGAACCTAACTACATTTTTTGGGCACCAACATCCACCGCCCCCCCCCCCCCAGTCAAAAATTTCCCCGTACGCCTATGATCACGGAAAGCCTTTCTTTTTTGTATAACCTGTCGTTTCTAATCATTATAAAATAACCATCTTGATTTCAGCAAGAGTAGCATTTCCGTGGTCAAATGCAAATGTAATTGGGCTGTCACCTTGTAACAGATGAAAATGTGCACAGAAACGAGCACATGGGAAACAGGCTTTAAGCCTTGTTGAACATGCAATATTTGTTGACATATTTTGCACTTAATATTTATATTTGTTTAGGAAGGCCCCCTGTCAATTTGAAACAATATCTATGAAACTTTTCTTAATCACAAGAACTGGGTGAAAAGATGTGCAAGAAAATTCTGATTGTCAAAGCAGAAAGTAAACTTTTGGACTTCCCAATGAAAATATGTAGAGAGTGACTGCACATCCTCATTTAAGCTAGAAGAGTTCGAACTGAACAAAACTAGTCACTTGTTCAGAGAAATCTGGGAAGGCTGTTCGCAACTAACAGATTATTATTACTCGACAATGATGATACATGTATATATATTTTTGATAATTGGAAAATTAACATGGCTTATATCCCATTAATTACTATAATAATGTAATAAATTGAAGTATTAAAATACTGTATACTAATTGTGTTTTTTATTTTTTCAGCGTACAGTTTTTTTGCGGTCTGTGAAATATGTGTAATATTTTCTAATATTGGATACCATGCTTCAGCCATATTGGATTTTAAAAATGTAGTCATGATTGCTCCACTACCAAAACCAACCACTTCTAACAATAAGCATTCTTGATGAAGATTTTTTTCTTGAACACCTACAGATCTGAAGTCTGTTTCTATTATATATATGTAGTCATAATTTCATGGCATTTGAGGCCCTTTGTTTTTTGTACTTCATAGAATATATTGTCAGCATTAGGGGTATGTGAACCATGTGATTGCACTTGTTCTCAACTAAAATTTGTGATAATCTCCTTACCTTGTTTATTTACATTTGTTGGATATCCTTATTAAATTGAAATATATTTCAAATTAAATATTATAATTGTTTAAGTATTTGACTATAGTCATAAGTACCATAGTATAATATGTTCGACTAAAATATATTATGTTGTTGGCATAGCATAATGATTGTTGACAAATTTTTAGTTCAACTTATCTTTGAAGATACTGAATAAAATTGAACCATTTTTGAACTGATATTACTTTTGAACATTCAGCTTTCATAATATTGTAATTTGTAAGGGTTTATAATTGCCCAACAGTGATCAGCATGTTTAAAAATTCTTTCAATTGCCACTGTCATGATAACAAATGACAGGAAATTTGAATTGTAGGATCTGTGTTTTAATTTAGAGGTTTTCAGTAATACAATATTGATGTAATACTTAACATTGTAAATGATAAGGTAATAGGGAATAATGTGTTTTGAAAAATTCACGTTAATGTTTAATTTATTTAACTTTTGGATCGAAGTATGCCTACACTATTTTCTTTATTTTTAAATTTTTATATATGGCATTTCATTAAAGCATATACAGGTATTAAAGATACATTATGGAAGATTAGATAGAGAGCTGACAGTTCTCACTATAATGGTTAAATAATAGATAATGAAATGGGACTATTCTGAAAATCTCAGTCAAATTACTTCACTCAAAGCCGAGAAATACTTATTTTAAAAACCTTGTAGCCTTGATGTCATTGTTGCCGTTGTGACAAAAATAAAAAAACTCCTGATTATCCATTTTGGCGTTTAATCATCAATTGGTAGATCATATTCAAATCTAATTTTAGTAAATGTCTAATTAATAGTTTATATAACATTTCAGGCCTAAAAAAATGACCTGCAACAGACAGATTTACCTCTCGCATAATTTATGTAATTTTAATTACATAATAATTAAAATTATTATGTACCGTAATACATTTTAAGCACATTTTGTGCTATGTCAGTTTTAACCTTTAGAAAACATTTGTAAAAATATGAATGAGGTCTGTTTATTACTTGGGTTTATTTGGTAATGTTTGTGAGTAAGAACACGCCGGTGAAGGTGCCAATATTCAATTATTTATATGTATTTAAGTCCAGTTTTTTCTTTACCAATTTATTAAATTAATTTACACTCGTAGCCTAATGTAAATTTTGTATTTTAAATTAATTCATATTGGTAATATATATTTTGTATCTTAAATTGGTAATATATATTTTGTATTTTAAAGTAACAGTGTGTGATTTGCAATTTGTCCGAAAATATCATATTTCTAGCGATCTACCTGTTTTACAAAAGGAATTGAACCATTTTAATTTGGTCTGATATCCTTTTAGAGATTCAAATTTTACAACATTGTAGTTAGCAAGGGATTCCTATATCGCTCAAATCATGCTCAGGGACTTTAAGTTAATTCATACTGGTATTATATATTTTATGTTTAGAGGTGTAGATTTAAGTTAAGCTAAGTATATCAGCTTTATGCCCCAAGGTCAGTAACTTTTGTAACAACAGTTATTGCCATTGATGCAAATTTAGATATAAATTTTGGGCTGAGATAGATCTACTGGAGGAGTCTTAAAACTCTTGGTTTGGACCTAGATTTTTATATTTTGGTTTTGTATACTGGAAAGCTTTAATAATAAAAGTAGGTCTATTATATGGTTTAATTGACATTCTTTTGGGTTTTGTTTTTTTTAATATGGTAGCTACGAGCGTATTTGTGAAATGATGAGAAAGATCTTTAAACTAAGAGACAAAATTAACCAGTCGATGCATGTGTGGAGAACGGGCCATATTGGCTCACTAATCAGGAGGCTCCAGGTTTGATCCTGGTATTGGTTGAGAAAGTTTCTCCGGATTTTTCAGCCTGGTTCTCACTTGGTACAGGGCTGATGAAGAGGAGGTGGAAACGCTATTTCCAGGCAAAATTTCCGTGATAGGACACTTTATGACATGTGTATGTCTATCTTTATTATCCCGGATTGTTCAGATGATCCTGTATCCAAATTGTTTTACCCTACTTGTAAAAATTATGAGTCAGCTGATATCTAAGGATTACATTCTGTAGACTCATTCTTGAAAGTTAGAAGTGGGGTTTAACGTTGGTCCTACAATTATTTTTCGAAAAATAATAAGCACAAAGGATCGATCATGTAGACTGTAATACTAAAATCCACTTCAGATCACTTTGGGGCACATATTTTGAAATGGGGCCTATATGAATATAAGGGGAGCCACGTACGGTCAGTGGCTCAGTGAGTAAGATGTTGGCACACTATAACTTGGAGGTCCCATGTTCGATCCTTGCGTTGGCCAAGAAAGTTCATCGTGATTCTCTGGCATGGTTCCTCCTTATCAGTTTTTCAGGACAGAGGGGCTGGCAAGGGACAGCGTAATAGTTGTTCGGATGGGACTGAAAAAGCAGAGGTCCTTTGTATGTATTGGCATGCACGTAAAAGATCCATTGGCAGTTGGAATTCAATATAAGAGAAGGCCGTAGCGCAGATGTCCGGGCAAAATTTAAGCCCAACCTTATAGCACACTGTATGGCATATGCCTGTCTTCATTAGCCCAGTCAGAGCAGTATAGGACGTTAAAGCATATTTCATTTCATTTATATGAATAAAAACACAAATGAAATCTTGTGACAGTTTAGCAAAAATTATAGTGTCTCGGTCACCACCTTTCAAAATACACCGATGGTTAAAATGTGGATACGATGGGGCCGCAAGTTGCTCAGAGAGTAAGATTTAGATAAGGCTGACTTGAATAGGGAGCAGAAAAATAGTTGAACCCCACTCACTTCATTTAGCACACATGACATACATCGATGACTTTTAATCTTGAGATGGGTGGCAGAATTATCCACCAAGGGATTGAACGATGAAAATAGTTGGAAAAGAATGACTAATTTAACAATTTTTGATAACGGTAAGATTTCATATTTATTATCTCAGGCTGGATATTTTTCCATAGGGTCAAATAGCCTACTTCATTGGAGTTGCCTCCCTTTAATGTCACTTGTCCAGAAATGTTCAAAGAAGTATTATTAATGTAAAAAAGTTCGATGAACTGATTCTGGAAAAGGTTTGTATTTTTTTAAAATTTTTTTTTAGTGTACTAGTCGTGATCTTACCGGGAAAAGATCGGACATTGTTGGCAGATCTGACTACTACCCTAACCCTAACCCATAATCCATGACATACATTACAAACCTAAGACTGAATAAAAAAGGAGGTAAGATCAACCAACAGCGCCAAGATGGGCTTCTGATATCCAAAATTTAAGACACAATAAACATTTTACCATAATCATTATTTATTAATGCGTTTCAGCACCATAATCTATAACGACAAATGCAAGCTCAAATTGGATTGTCCCTCAACTTGCTCAAGTCATCCTGGTCTGTGTGTATATGATCTAGCTACGAGAACGTAACTAAAAACGTATAGATATGCTGATGTGCTTGTTTTTAGCTACGACTGGGTGCCTTTAGTTTCACCTGGCAAACTTAATTTCTTTATTAATGCATGCACCAACTTAAAAATAAGTTAATTTCATACTATGTCATACTATGTAGCCTACTTATTACACATACACAGCCCAATCTACTGATACAACAGTCATTTATCAGCAAATATTGACCATAAAGTAAATCAAGCGTTGTTTTTATCAAAATTGATACAGACATTCATAATTACGGGGTATTAATCCTGCGCAACTCTGATCAGGTTAGTACTTTGATTGGCTATTGTACACAAGGCCCCACCTTTAGCTGTTAAAGACGTAAATTTAAATTGTCGGAGAAAGCAATCTTGTATCGCTTCAATTTAAAAATTGGGGATTTGTAGGCCTACCCGTGTCAGGTAGGATTTTCTGCTTTATTGTGGTTGGATGTGGCAGAAATGTTATAAATAACAATAATCAATTGTTATTTTGATGAAAAATGTTGTCAATTTTGCTTACTGAGGCCCGATGTGATTCACATTCGGCTTTGCTACATGGAACTATATAGGACCATCTCTTATCTCGAAACATGGAGGGTTGAGAGATGAGGTTTGTTATCTATATGATCTACTGTGTGTCGAAGGCCTGCCAAGTCACAAATGTATAGTCATTCGGACGACATGAAAAAAAGAGGTCCTGTGTACACATTGACGTGCACGTTAAAAACCCTTGGCAGTTCGAAATTTATATAAGAGTAGGTCAAATTTCCCTCATAGCACACTGTATGGCATATGCCCGTCTTCATTAACCCAATCAGATCAGGTAGGATGTTAATATTGTCTGTCACATTAATATTTTATTTTATTTTATTTTTCAGAGTAAAAAATTGAATGAAGATTATCGATGAAATATGAGTAATTATGATCAGGTACAGGTTAAACCTGTATTATTTAACATCACTGTTCCGTTTGTTGTTGGGGTAGTCAGCATCCTACCATCCTTCGCTACTATATTCGCAGTTGTCTGGTCCGTTTCATTTAACTTTGAAGCATCCACTAGAAGCCATTGTCAGGTAATTTTCAAACCTAATATGTGCTCTCCTGTGATCCACCAAAAAGGCACATAACGTTTTTAATCTTCTTTATCTACTAGCAAACCTTAAGTGGATACATACCTGAATAATATTGTTTCCACTCCTCCCATGATGGGAATGTATGTTTTAGATACAGAGGGTTTTTAACCCTAACCAGCTAACCCCTTTAAACCAAAGCAGTTAGCACCTTTAACCCTAACCAGTTAGCCCTTTTAACCCAAAGCAGTTAACCCCTTTAACCCTAACCAGTAAATGTCTTTAACCTTTGTAACTAATACTTTTTTCTACCAAATTTCATGCTTCTGCGACATACATGTATTGTTTGCCTATAAAACTGACATTCGCTTTCTGTTCAAAGTTGTTGCCATTGTCTTCCTGGTGTACATAAAACTTAAAGGAGGGAAGTCGTTAACTCAATATTATCCGCACTCTTCGACATTGCAAATATGACTTACTGGTCAATTTAAATCAATGTTGATGTTGTTATCTTGCTGTGCTTCTGATATCCAGTTTATAACAAAATGAAAATTTTAAAATTGGCACACGAATTGCGTGGCAGAATGCTTTAGAGCTCCATTTGTAATGAAGCGATTTGATGAAAAAGGCGAATCATATCCTACAGAAGAATACTACCAATGTAGACTGGAATAACCAGACCCCAAAGACTGCCATTCAAATTGGACTACTCGCATATTTCGCCGAACATAACTGATTAGAAATTACAGTAAAAACAGAAACGATTGAATGTAAATTATTATATAAGGTGCGACCCATTTGTGTCCATTTCTAAGTTGCAAAGAATAGTGATTTAGCTCCTTTAATGAGCACACATCCTGAGCACACACCCCTTTGTCATATTAAGCATAGTCTGTACATTAAATACAATCAATATACTGAAGTGTATTCCTTTCAGCAGTTTTAATTTACAATTGACTTTTTTCTTCATTTACAGGCATACAACTTCCTACCATCTGTCAGTGCAGCGATTGGTGACTTTGCTCCACAGAAATATGTATGGAGAATTTGTATAGCGCTACATTGTGGACCAAGGTTTATTTTAGCTGTGTTGTATTACGGGTATCATACATCAATTAATACAGGAAGATATTACGAAGTTTATAAAACTTTAGCAGCCACATGTACATTGCTCTTTTCAGTTGAGATCTGTTCACTTGTTGGCTTAAGCTATGTGTCATCCTCAGATAATTTTAGTAAGTTTTGCTAACCAATCAATCAATAGTTCCAAAAATGCCAAGTATATATTTTGTAATATAATCGTGCATTTGATTACCATTGTTTTAGTTTGTCTGTCTGTACACATGTAATTTGATTGGTTGTGATTTTGGGGCACAATGATGAAGAATGTTTAAACTTGGTACAGGTTGACTGAATTCTATAATGAACATTTTCTACTCAGTCTAAGTACCTATGAATGAGGAATTTGGGATGTATTTGCCACATCTTATTGGAGTAGAATTTTCAGTGGAGGTGTAGATGTGACCAGATGTTGATTTTCAGCAATCTAAGACTTTCTGTTCCAGGGATATAATTATTATATTTCGAGGAAAAGCATATGGCGATCTTTTTTGCGAGACAAAGTTGCGGTGTGGGCGTATTTCCACTGTCCTGTACTAAACCAACCGAATGAAGACAAGCATACAGTGTGTTATGTGAGAAATTATGCCTGGGAACACTAAGGCCTACTCTTATTTCGAATTCCAACTATCAAAGGTTCATGCCAATGTGTACACAGGACCTTGATTTTTCATCCGACCCGAATGACTAGACACTGATTTTTTGCAGGCCCTCATACTCAATGGTGCACCAACGCTAAGTGATAACCCTGCTGAAAAAATCTACTTTATTGGTCAACACTTAGATCGAAGCTCAAACCTTCTTGTTAGTGAGTCAGCACCTTATGCTCTAAGCCAACTCGGCTTATAATCACAGAACAATTAATTAGTTGGTCAATTTAAGAATTGTTTTTTTGTCTTGTTTTTTTTTTTTTCAGATATCCACAAACTGTGTTTTTGTATATTTATGTTTTGTGTTGAATGTTATATGATACTGACATGTTATTTGATGTATAAAGTTAGAACCAGTAATGGTAGAAAACTTACATCTATCGTAAGTATTCATTATAACACGGGTTCCCGGTTACACAAAGCATTCTCAGATTGTTTAATCATTGTTTATGAGAAATATCTTTGATCCAGAAACAGAACTTTGCACATAGTTTCTTATTGATGTATTTGATACATTAAAACAACAAAAGTTTTTATAAAAGGCTATATTTTAATTAAAATAAGGCAAACAATTTTGAATAAATTCTTAACTTAGTCTCAGAATGTTTTGTGAAACTGGGGCCTGCCATTCACATTGTGTTTCTCTCATTAAAACAGTTTTCAGAGAGTAGCCTAGTTCATGCCTAGGTCGAGTATGTTCCATGACATTTTTTCCAGCTAGGTTTCCCCTTGTCAGTGGTATAGGATGGAGGGCCTGGCAAGGAAAGGTACATGTATCTAGTCATTCTGATGGGACGAAAAACTGAGGTTCAGCGTATACCATTGGCAGAATGTTAAAGATCTCCTGACTGTTGGAAGAGTAGGTTACATCAAAATATCCCTCATTGCAAACTGTATAGTGTATGCCATCTTCATAATCTCTGTCAGTCCAAGAAATAAGACATTATTTAAAACACATTTTATTTGATTTCCATATTCCTCCTCCTCTTTAGAAGATAAATTAAAAACTCTACTTTCTGACCTGTAATTGATATTATTTGATAGTTCGTTTGTTCGTTCTTGGTGTTTAACATCTGCTTCCACATAAGTGATATCGTAGACAAGTTAGATTCAATAACCCTTTAGTACTTGGACCACCTGTGACTAAGTCTCCTTGGATCGTTAGAAACCACCTGTGATTAGGCCTCCATGGACCGCTAGAAACCACCTATGACTAGGTCTCCTTGCACCGCCCGAAACCACATGTGACTAGGTCTCCTTGGACCGCTAGAAACCATCTGTGATTAGGCCTCCTCGGACCACTCAAACCACTCATTGACTAGGCCTCCTTTGACCACCTGAAACCACCTGTGACAAGGGCTTCTTGGGCCGCCCGAAACCACATGTGACTATGGCTCCTTGGACGGCCCAAAACCAACTGTGAATAGAACTACTTATTAGATTGGCCCGTCTGAGTCACATGAATAGCTGTAACAGCCCAAAGACCTAGAGTACAGTTGGATCATACAACACTGCTTTATATGTATAAAGTGCTGAAGGGATAAATAAAAAACATACCATCAATATTAAAGATACATTATGGGAGATTATATAAAGAGCTGGCAGTTCTCAATATAATAATTAAAAACTAAATAATGTAAAGGCAATTTGCTGAAAATTTCAGTCAAATTGATCCACTATGAACCGAGAATTAAGCGAGGGAAATTTCCACCTAGCCTCGATCATCATTACTAAAGTCGATACGATAAAAAACATAGTCTTGATTATCCATTTCAGGATTAAATAATGAATGAAAGTTGTGCAGCAAATCAGATCCTAATTCAGTAAATATCGCAGGCTAGCAATGACATTGAGAGTTGATTATGGTTTGGATAAGTTGATTAATGTCTAATTAATAATTTTGAAAACATTTCACACCTAAAGAATGACCTGCAATAGGCAGATTTAGCTCTTGCATAATGTATGTTTAAGTATTTCTCATTTTTACCGTAAATGTATCTTATATTTCAGGAAAAGCAATCTCTAGGTTATAAGAAGAAGTTATGTGTGATTAACATAGGATCATTTTTATTAGCCTTATATTTTTATTACAGTCACACATACTATTGTGGAGATCGAAGTAAGTTCATTCATATGTAAATAAAAACATTTGTCTTTGGAAACAGATCACCTGAAACACAAAATTTTGTATACATATGTCAAAGATGTTAAATGACCACACTATTTATATTATCTTGATTTTGAACATCCTCATTGTAATTATGGCTCGGTGAGGAAGATGCTGGCTTGATCTCCGTGTTGGCCGAAAAAGTTCCCTGGGATTTTCCAACATGGTTTGATCCCCGTGTTGGCCAAAAAAGTTCATAGGGATTTTCCAGCATGGTTTCCCCTTGGAAGTGGTGCAAGGCGAAGAGCCTGGCTGAACTATATACTAACGTTAAACATATCTATATTAGGGTTGAAGTATACTATACTAATGTGTTGGAAAAACATTAAACATATCTATATCCTGGTTGAGCTATACTAACGTTAAACATATCTATATCCTGGTTGAACTATACTATACTAATGTGTTGAATAGACTTTAAACATATCTATATCCTTTTTGTCCCCCGCCTTTCGAAGAAAGCAGGGGACTATTAAAATGGGTTCGTCCGTCTGTCTGTCCGTCTGTCCGTCCGTCCGTCTGTCTGTCCGTCACACTTTTTGGGACACAATAACTCTCTTCCTAATTGAGCTAGAATGTTCAAACTTGGTGTATGTGTTTATTAGGTCAATGCCTTGATGGAGTTCGAAGATGAGCATTTTTCGCTTAGGGTAAGCAGAGATAAGCAATTTGATTGGTTGATGCTTTGGGACACGATAACTCTCTTCCTAATTGGGCTAGAATGTTCAAACTTGGTGTATGTGTTGATTAGGTCAATGCCTTGATGGAGTTCGAAGATGAGCATTTTCCGCTTAGGGTAAGCAGAGATAAGCAATTTGATTGGTTGATGCTTTGGGACACGATAACTTTTAATTGAGCTAGAATGTTCAAACTTGGTGTATGTGTTTATTAGGTCAATGCCTTGATGGAGTTCGAAGATGAGCATTTTCCGCTTAGGGTAAGCAGAGATAAGCAATTTGATTGGTTGATACTTTGGGGCACGATAACTCTCTTCCTAATTGAGCTAGAATGTTCAAACTTGGTGTATGTGTTGATTAGGTCAATGCCTTGATGGAGTTCGAAGATGAGCATTTTCCGCTTAGGGTAAGCAGAGATAAGCAATTTGATTGGTTGATGCTTTGGGACACGATAACTTTAGTTCTAATTAAGTGAGATTGATGAAACTTGGTGTATAGATTTATTATATGAATACCTTAACTAAGTTCGATAATGAACATTTTTTGCTGAGGGTAAGCAGAGTGATAAGCAATTTGATTGGTAGAAACTTTGGAACACAATAACACTCCTTCTAATTGAGGTAGAATGTTCAAACTTGGCATAGGTGTCTATTAGGTGAATGTTTAAACTTGATGTATATGTAGATGTTCATTAGGTGAATGTCTTGACTGAGTTCAATAATTAACATTTCGAGCTGAAGCTAAGCAGAGCTAATCGATTTCATTTGTCGATGGTTTGGGACAAGATAATCTTGATTCTATCTGATAGAGAGTGATGATAAATGTGCGATTAATTAATATGTGTCATCTATTTATTTTGCAATTTCGGCGGGGGACATCAGCCTCACTGTTGGCTTGTTGAACTATAGTCACGTTAAACATATCTATATCCTGGTTGAACTCAGGGGCGGATCCAGAGGGGGGTGTTGAATTTCTCTGTTTAAAAAGCTCAATGTGTATGTATATACGCCAAAATGACGATAGAGACCAAGCGGGAGGGGGGGGGGAGATACATTGTCTCAGGAACACCCCCCCCCCCTGCAAAAATTCCTTGATCCGCCCCTGGAACTATGCTAATACTAATAAGTGTTTTATTTATTTGGTTTTTTTTAGCCTACAGTTACTTTGCTCTCTGTGAATATATTGTGATATTTTCTAACATTGGATTCCATACCACGGCAATGCTGGACTTTAAATCTATGGCCTTGGTTGTCCAGGAACCTACCACTCATCACCAGTCTATAGATTATATATTATGACAGCAAGATAAAAAAAAATCGATTGCATATAGACGTATATACATATAAATATTATTCATTTTATATTTTTACCTATTGGGGATATATACTTATACACGTTTTAAAATTAAATTTATTTTGGTGAAATTATTCTGTTAACAACACAATAAAATATATTTTACAGCATAGTCAATGCCACCGCTCGTTTCGTCGTGCATCAATGTCTAGCGTATCACAATGACACGATACCTATTCTCAAGGAGCTACACTTGCTCAGAATTGAGAGGGGCATTAACTTTAAACTTCAATATGTTGTTTTTAAACCTATCCGCCACAATGAGTCTGCACCGCACTATCTCAAAGAGCTAATTTAAATTGATGTACCAGCACATAATGTCAGAAGTGCTGTCTCAGTCCAACTGTGCCACTCCACTCTCCAACTAAAGCTGACAGTGCTTTTAATGTATATGCATCTATTTTATGGAACAGACTTCCCATTAACTTGAGGGCCATAGATATTACTTCTTTTAAATCTGAACTTCTTTTAAACACAACTTTGTAAGAAAAGCATATCTTAAATATGAACAATTGTAATTTTTATTTTTTATTTTATTTTTTATCATTGTCATTCATTTTAACCTATTTTTACCTATGTTATGTAAAACGTTTTGAGATTATATCAAAAATAAATTATTATTATAAGTCATCTTTGGCCATAGTCTACAGAGAGAGAGAGATTTTAACTCCACTTGACACAAATAAAAAAAGCCACCCTCCAACCTCGTGGGTTTTCTCTGGGTCCTTCGGTTTCCTCCCAATGCTAAAGACCACTATGCGCAAGCGAATTATTGAAATAAAATTAAACCATGTTAGTCCCGAAATGGCCTAGTTTGTGTCGAGTGGACGTTAAACCCTATTTCTCTCTCTCTCTCTCTCTCTCACACAAAGCCACCCAACGCCACCACAGTGTACAGACCATATTCTCTAAAAGAGATTTTACAGAAAGATATAATAATTATCATTTTGCACAAGAAAATAAATTTGACTAAAGCAAAGCAAATAGCGTGAGTGTTCGCTAATTTAAGCTACTTGAAAAAAAAAAGCTGGCCTGGAAGCCATAACGGCTCAGTGAACATGGCACTGACTCACTAACCAGAAAGTAAATTGTTTCAATGGCATTTAGTAATTTAAGTGGAAATACGCAGGTCACATATCTAATTTCTAGCCTTTAGTTCCATAGGACTAAAAACGAAGATCCCAAATATAAACATTGGAATTCGAAAAATAATTGGCCATAGCGCCGCTTTCGGGTCAAAATTTTCCTCGTGGCATATTGCATTGCAGACCCTTCTTTATTGGTGCAGAAAAGTAGGACGATAAACCACATTTAATTTCCGATAAACCACATTTAATTTCATTACAGCAGTAATTAACTTACACCATAATAATATTATTAGTTGTATTTTGATTTATTATTGATTACCAAGATACTTCGATATTGATAATAGAGATCGATAAATACCCGGTTCACGTGCAAATCAGATCTTACTCACTTCGTAGTGTTAAATTGAGACAGACAGGATTGTTTACAGTATAAATTTCAGTGTCCCTTTTTGAGCTATTACGGTGTTCACCTTTAGACTGGATTAACAGGTGGACTTCGGTAAGGCGGCATTATCAAGTCTCAATCCTACTGACGACCGGCAGACCACCAAGTATTCTGTCAATGATTTCAGTGTTTGTTTTTTTTCCTGGGCCAAGTATTTCCAAAATTTTAGTTTGTTTGCAATGACGACCAGAAACAGAGAAAATTCATCAGTTTGTTGGACCATAAAAACTTTGGGAAATCGGCTCCGCGAACAACTACGTCACCCTTTGATGTTGGCGTACCTTTATTTCAAATATCCGTACAGGCAACATGCCAATCGTACATTATTTATACTAGTGAAATATTGGACTCGCGTGACGTATTTCACTGTAAAAGCACGTGCGGGGTGTCTGTATTTTAAGTCGTTTAATGGTCGATCGAGCTCAAGACATGCGTAATAAATTGTAAAAACACTCGGGCCTACGGCCCTCTTGTTGCTACAATATATTACTCAATGTCGACTTGCTCTCGACCATTAAACAATACATAATACATGGAAACAGTCCCATTAGCCTACATTTGCATTAGATCGACTTTTTCGTCGGCAGAAACGCGTACATGGAAAGCGGACCCAATGAAATCCGACGACCCTATGAAACTCCCTGCTTTCCTTTCCGCGCGTGATTATCTGTAGTTCCACGTGTACAGAAACATCGTTGAAAAGTTTGGGAAATCCTATGTAAATGACGTCATAAAGTCAGGATTTCTCTCTACTGCATGTATCCCGTCATGGTTTACGTTCAATCGCTTTTTCATAATAACATCATTTCCCAAAAATCTGCCATGTGCAAGCTGAAATAGCAGCAACCACATCGGTTGATTGACTTGTGTGGAAGAGAACCCGTGTTTGTGCACCAGAACGTAAACATCCACATGCCCACACTGATCCGCAGTGAATATTTGCTTGGCCGCGACAATCACTGATAAGGATGACATTGATGCGGCTTAATGAGCTAGAAATATTAACTTTTTTCCTGCGACAAATTAAATTCTAAAACATTTTTTGTATATATTGGAAAAATAAATAAAGTCGTTTGACGTATTTGTAGTTAAAAATTATTTCCGATTTAATGTAAATGGGTATTAAAATGACTAAAATGCAGCATTCTCTCCGAAGCAGTTATGTCTTATGTAAACAATGCACGCGTCATTCAGTCAATGATTCACACCGCGTGCTGTGACAGCACGTGTTAAGGCAGTCATCTATGACAGAGATATTATACGAGACTCGTAATTCTCTGTGAAACAGATTGCCACATGCCCACACTTCACGTGAGAAAAATCGCCAGCGAAAAAGTCGCACTATCCTTACATGGAAGCGGACCTATTACATTTGCATTTGACCCCCTGTTTGCCGGCGACAACGCGTACATGGAAAGCGGGCCTTAGTCTTAAATGGACAATTAACCAATTTGATGTACTGGTGGTCAATCCGTTCATTGCCCTACTGACCATTAGTTGGCGGGGGGGGGGGGGGGGGTGATGATACTATACATTGATTTGGGCCCCACGGGGTCGTAGGCGATCTTTTGAAAGAGAGGGGTTGGGGGCTGTAAGATTGACAATATAGATGTGCGTGAAAATTTGTCTGAAATTATGTTCGCGACCAGGATGTCATTCTATGGGTTTATTGATTTTGATTAACCGACACACAGTAAAGTTTACCATCATCGAGATATATTCTGTGAGGTTGTTTAGTTCTCTTTCCGGGGCATATCTCTGACACTGCTACATCGATCTTTGCCAAAGCGCCATTGTATGTTTGGGTATATGACCGACCTGGTGGTCTGGTCACCATTGTAACCAATCGACTGATTTGTTTTAGTTTTTGGTCTAGGTCCTTGATGCGCTGACCGATTACAACAAAACTCTAGGGAAAATAAAATGTCTCGGGGAAAAATTTATCACATCCTACAGTTTAATCCTTAATTATTTTTGAACCACTGGATATCGTGACGACCTGGCACCGATGGCGATCCAAGTTTGAAAATAAAAAATAATATAAAATCAGATTCAAGTTTCATATATTTTATTAAAGGAACGTATTTGTATTTAATATTCTTCTCCACCTTCCTCTTCTCCTTCACCTTCAACAGAATCAACACCAACTTCTTCATAATCTTTCTCTAGAGCAGCCAAATCTTCTCTAGCTTCAGAGAATTCACCTTCTTCCATACCTTCACCAACATACCAGTGGACGAAAGCTCTTTTAGCGTACATCAGATCAAATTTATGATCTAGACGAGCCCAAGCTTCAGCAATAGCCGTAGTGTTACTCAGCATACAAACAGCTCTCTGTACCTTTGCTAAATCCCCTCCTGGTACAACAGTTGGTGGTTGGTAGTTGATACCGACTTTAAAACCAGTTGGGCACCAGTCAACAAATTGTATGGTTCTTTTGGTCTTGATGGTGGCGATGGCAGCATTGACATCCTTGGGAACAACATCTCCTCGGTACAACATGCAACAAGACATGTACTTGCCATGACGAGGATCACATTTTACCATCTGGTTGGCAGGTTCAAAGCAGGCGTTAGTGATTTCAGCGACGGTCAACTGTTCATGGTAGGCTTTCTCAGCAGAGATGACTGGGGCATAGGTAGCAAGAGGGAAATGGATACGTGGGTAGGGAACCAAGTTGGTCTGGAACTCAGTAAGATCAACATTAAGGGCACCATCAAATCGTAGAGAGGCGGTGATGGAGCTGACGATCTGGCCAATTAAACGATTTAAGTTGGTGTAAGTTGGTCTTTCAATATCCAAGTTACGGCGACAGATGTCATAAATAGCTTCGTTATCAACCATAAAAGCACAGTCAGAATGTTCCAAAGTGGTGTGAGTGGTCAGGATAGAGTTGTATGGTTCAACCACAGCAGTGGAAATTTGTGGTGCTGGATAAATGGCGAATTCTAACTTGGATTTCTTGCCATAGTCGACACTCAATCTTTCCATGAGAAGAGATGAGAAACCAGAACCGGTTCCACCACCAAAACTGTGGAAGATGAGGAATCCCTGAAGACCAGTACATTGATCAGCCAATTTCCTATTCTGTCGAGAACCAAATCAATGATTTCTTTACCCACGGTGTAGTGACCTCGAGCATAGTTATTAGCAGCATCTTCTTTACCGGTGATGAGTTGTTCTGGATGGAAGAGTTGACGATAGGTACCGGTTCTTACTTCATCTACAACCGTTGGTTCCAAATCAACAAACACAGCTCTTGGTACATGTTTACCAGCTCCCGTCTCACTAAAGAATGTGTTGAAGGAATCGTCTCCACCTCCAATAGTTTTATCTGAAGGCATCTGACCATCAGGCTGGATACCATGTTCCAAACAGTACAACTCCCAACAGGCATTGCCCATCTGGACACCAGCCTGGCCGATATGGACAGAGATACACTCACGCTGAAAACGAAAAGAGGAACATATTTAGAAAATTGATAGAATTTCAATTCATCACATCTATGGAATTGAACTATTTTTGGCCTAATATCCTTTTAGAGATTCAAATTTTACAACATTGTAGTTTGCAAGGGATTCCTATATCGCTTAAATCACGCCCAAGATCTTAAAGGAACTCTCTCATAATTTAATTTGGCAGAATGACAACAAATTTCTGTAGCCAAGTTACTTGATTATGCAAGTACAAGGCACGTTTTACTTTTGTGAACCAGAAAAGGCATGCTTCGCCTCATACAAGACATAATGTCAATTCTTCTAGTTGACAAAATGGCGGGAAAATAAAATTTAATGACAGTTCATGAAAAGTGTTATCCTTCTTAAGACATGTTGTTTACTATCTTCACCGTGTCAAAGTATTACGTCTCGTCTGATGCCTTGACATTCTGACGATGCAGCTGCATAAGAAAATATACTTAAATATGACGTGAAATGAACGTCCTACTTTTCTGAGATGTACAGGTAACAACATACAAAGATACTTACCATAATGAAGGATGACGTTCAACTTGTGTATACAGTAATAAATAAATAAATAAAGCTTGCTACAACTGATGTAGTCAGTAGACAAGTTATAATAATAATGATTTAAACACAGTAGTTAATAGTTTATATACTCTAATAGTAACAACTAATCTTAGTTACATACAAACACTGGTCAACAACAGATTAGTATCACACACTGGTCAATTAGGGATTATCCCAAACACTGTAATTAATATCTACGTTAATAAGACATTGTCCAGGTATGGATTAATTATTTGTTAAAGAATTGTCTGTTAAAAAAGATTACATTATACGTACAATGATAAATTGATTGATGTCTCCCCGGAACTTGACAGAAGGTTAATCGAGAGATATTCTAAATTTGCTAGCGTTAAAATAATAGAATTGGTAAATAAAGAATTGGTAAATAAAGAATCAGTCAAATAAAGGAAGCACGAATTCATTTTAATCAAAACCGGCATAATATATATATTATTCTTTTTATTTTTTTTTTATTATTTAGGTTGGGGGTTCGGTGGGGGTAGAATTGGGCCCGAAACACGAAAAATATTGGCATGATTTTACTTTTACAACTTATGTTGGTTACGATTGGTTTCTACAATAGGCATCAATCGGAGTAAGGTTCTCAATTCTATTTCTCTGAAACTGTATCTGGTTTACAGCATATTACTACAATACAAATTCTCAAAGCCAGTAGGCTATACACGAATATTTATTGTCGAGATCAAACAAGTAGAAGAGAATAATTTCAAACAATACCACCTTCATGATAGAATAAAAACACGTTACAGTCAGTGACAATTAATATTAAAGTTAAACATTAATGGCTTTTTATAATTGCCAGTCACTCAGTGCAATAGTCCAGTATGTCTGACTCTTTCCCTGTACTTTTTGTATGGCGAGAACACATAGACAATAGACGCAGAATTTTCAGGATTTAGCTTTCCTTAGACTCAATTCAAATTAAAGGGCTAATTCCGATATTTTTTGCAGAATACAACTGCTTAATTTTGTGTTAAAATCCCTTAAATTCCTCTAGCTAAGGGCCGAGCAACGAACTCAATATTTGTGATACGTTTTCAAACAACTTAAACCCGCCAGTCTTCATCTGGAAATGGAGACCAGTGACCAAAGATGTATTATGATGTGTCTGCATAAAACTAGACTTTTATTTTATAATAATAATATGTAGGTGAAATTTACCTTTCGTTATCAAGTAGAGCACATGGATCATTCACTATATAGACCTCTCAAGGAACGGGAATCGATTATCAGGTCACCCAACGAAAAAACTGACCCGAAATCTTAAAAGGGTTACGTGTCCGGATAAACAGTTTTGACGTTCACGTCCAAACGACCCAATATTTTGAGCTGGAGTTTTGAGAGAAGGTAAATACACCATTCCTCTATATTTTGGCGCTTAAATTTCATACGTACTCCGACTTTTATTTTTGAGGCTCTTTTGAAATCGGGATAGTCCCTTTAACCATTTGACCAAATCTTAATTGTTTATCTTTAATTTTACGGTTCACCGCCAAACAGTAATGTAATGTACGAATTTAACCTATGGATATTTCGAACTTGAAAGTTAGGGAGCAAAATTAAAAAAAAACAAAAAAAAAACAAGCCCAAGCTGTCAGCCCTACAAGTCAAGGGAAAGTGTCCGACATTTCTTACCACTAATTGCCTAAATTAATGTTTACGACGTAATTTATTAATAGTTTTAACAATACTTAGTGCTTCAGATATACCCACTCTTTAATGGAAGTATTGATTAGGCTGTAATATAATAAACAATACAGTAATATAGTTTATGCTTAAAGGAGAACGTCACGTGAATTAAAAACCTAGCTTGAAAACGGGCACAGTCTGTTTCACAGAGGTAATTGACCTTTAAGTTCACGTGCATTATAGGTCTACGTGTGACGTAAAACCAATGTGCTTTTTTTTAAAAATGGCGTAGTAACACAAACTGATCAGGACAGAATTGGTCCCTTTTACTCATTATATGTCTTCTTGTTATATATTATGTACCAATTTACACAAAACAGGAAATATGTTTTATCCAGATATACTTCCAACACATTTATTTATTTTTTATTTTTTTATTTTTTTTTTCTTAATAATTAAAAAAAATTGTTTCAGGTTTTAAGTTTTAGTTTAGTCTTCAGAAGAAAAAGGTTAGTATTGAGGGCTAATTAACTCCCCCTGATGTCATCCCTTGCAGCGATAGTAGCCGCCAAGCAGTTTGGCAGTGTGCTATGTGCCGTGTTTTGACATGCCAACTTGTACACGGGGCTTCTGGTTTTCGTACCACCCGAACAACAAGACGCAGTTCCTTGTCCCAGACTCTTTGTCCTGCACCACCGACACCACAATGAACTCGGCCATCACTTGTATTGGACCTCAAGGTGAGTGAGCCACCGCGGCTCCATGAGACCAACAATCATTGCAGATTTTTAAAATACATATTCTTAAGAGAGAGAGAGAGAGAGAGAGAGAGAGAGACAGACAGACAGACAGAGACAGACACACACACACACACACAAACTGGATCATTTCATGACTAACACACGGTTCAATTTTATTTCAATAATTTCTTTGTACGTAGGGGTCTTTAGCAGTGGGAGGAAACAAGAGGACCTGGAGAAAACCCACGAGGTTGGGCAGGCCATTCGGTCACCCAACTCCCTTAAATAACTAAATGCAAACCTAAATACATATTTCTCAACCTTAACTATGTCGTGTTGACGTCACAAGGGGGAACAGTCAGTCATTGCAAATAAACAAACCAGAATCTAATTACTTGTGCATTCTTCCACAGCCACGTATTATATGATTTTTTTTTTTCGGGTTGTGAATTGTTGAAAGTATTTTGAAGATGCATTATGTAAGAACTAAATCTGCCTAATGTAGATCTCGTTTTGGCTTTAAATCTTATTTAAATTATTATTTAGACATTATGCGCATTGCATGCCTATAATCAACGTTCTAGGCCATCGGATGGCCGACTTTAAATGGATTTGAACAACTGAGAGATTTATTAATTTAACGATAAAAATGGATAATCGAGACTTAGACTCGGTTATCAAGCACCGTTGTTGCAATAATAAACGATCAACGTTACATCTTTAAAAAGTCATAACTTCACCTGGAATAAAGTAATTTGAATGACATGTTTAATATATTCATTTTTAATCATCTATTTAGCTCTTTAGCTCTTTATCTAAACTTTACATAATGCATCTTTAAATAATGAATAATAAATACATTTAAAAATGTGCGTCGAACGATGTTCTCCTTTAATAACCGATCTAAGATTCAGTATCGAGTCATTTAAAATGACACCACAGAATAGTCTTGGATTATAAATTACAGAGACGTTTTGTGGAGATCATGGAAATGTTACATATTATTCCAAGGCTGGCTTACATATGTTTAGCTGGTTTCTTAATAAACGGTGAGATTTTAAAGGTTTTTTTTTGTCTTTAATACAGTCATGCTACACTTGCTTCAGTTTAAAGTTTAGTCAACAAAATGCGCCTGTCATTTTAAGACTGTGTGCAATTAGATCGGGAGAGTTTTTTTCGGATCCCTTATGTTAGTCCCGAAATGACCTATTTTGTGTCGAGTTACGTTAAACCCAAATTCTCTCTCTCTCTCTCTCTCTCTCTCTCTCTCTCTGGCCCGCTTTTGATAATCAGGTTCGAAAAATCCCGACGGATTTTCTAGTGTCATGCCGAGATAATTATAAATATTTAATTCCAGATCATTTATCGCCTGTGTGTACGAATTCCAAAAAATGATTCGCGCCCACCTTCTATTATTTTGCTGTTTCGTGAATGTATTTTTAGTTTGAAATATCGGACTTTAAAACAAAAATATCATTTGGGAGAATTTAGCTAAATTTTGGCAACTTTAACTAGACATTAGTAATATTTATTTTTTTTTACTTTTAGGAATGCGTGGTTGTCAAGATGAAATATTTTACCTCGAAACCAAATTAAATCATTCCGATGCTAATACCAGATGTATAGAGATGGGATATCAAGGATTAGCAGAACTAAAAACTCAACAACAACAAAAACTTGCAAACGATATCGTTTACCACTATAAGTATGTTAAATGTTTTTTGGGTTTTTTTTTTGGGGGGGGGGGGGGTTGTTTGTTTTTTGGGTTTTTTTCTTGGGGGGGGGGGGGGAAATAAGAAAAAAAATAATCTGTGTACTATGGACCAGGAACTGGGTATGACGTCATCGCAGCCATCTTGCACAAATGTGCACCCACTAATATAAGGAATCTGTTAATAACAACATCTTTATAGTATTCGTAACAACGGCAGATCGTCCTCCCCGCACGGTAACATAATATACTCTTCAAAAAAAGTAGGGGATATTGAAATGCAAATACCTATGCAGGTTGTGATATGATAAATAGTAATTAGAGTTCCCCACAATTTTTATGTGTGGTCTAGCCTAACCCATGACCCATTTTATGTGTGGTCTAGGGTGTTTTCGGTAGTGTTATTCTTTCCGAATTTAGTGAGTTTTTCTGGGGTTTTCGATTAGTATCAAAAAGTTTTTGGGTATTTTTAGGTTTTTTCTCAAAGTTTTTTTTTTATATACTTTTAGGATTTTTTTCAGGATTTATCAGGATTTCAGAATCTTTTCGGAATTTTTCGAATTTTTCGATATTTAGTACACCCAGTAACCTTGTTAGTCAATAATGTTTGTATTTGTACTAACAGGTAACTCAGTTATTAATATTTATATTTATAGTAAAGGTAACTGAGTTAATAATTTCTATTTGTAGTAAAGGTAAGTCAGGAGCCCATGTATGGATTGGTCTGACGTATAACATGTCTACTAGCAATTGGTGGTGGGGATCTGGAGAAGAGTCGATAGAATCTAATTCATCGAATGTTTGGACCTCTGGCGAACCTAATCACATGTTCAACCAGCGTTGTGTTAGTTTGATGTACACCTCGAGCCCACATGTCGTGGGGTGGGCTAGTAAAGGATGCTTGAAATTTCACAAAGCACTGTGTCAGAGGGCAAAAGGTAAATTTGGGATTCGTTTTTCTTAAACCTTCATATCTCTATTCTCATCTACAAATCTTCATGAACCAATATCTGACTATACTGTTTGTCTCGAGGAGATCATCTTTCTAACTATGTGACTAGGAGTGGGGTCGCCTGTCCAGCCTCGTGGGTTTTATCCGGGTCCTCCGCGCATGCGAATTACTGAAATAAAATTAAACCATATGTTAATTAGTCCCGAAATGACCTAGTTTGTGTCGAGTAGACGTTAAACCCCATTTCTCTCCCTCTTTGTCTCTTTATATTTCGGAAAAAATTTGGAATGAATCCCAAACAGAAAAAATTTAATATTTTGCCTTCAGATGAACGATCTATGCTGTGTTCAACCAGTCATGTTTCTCATTTGAGTCCTTAGGCTTAACAATGTGTTTTATATGCTCTCATATTTTTATTGCTCGCATGTTTCGAATAGGCCACCTGTATGGAAGGGTATCGCTGCCAATATTAAATGCTCTGCTACAATGTCTTTTCTATTGATTATATGTAAAAAGTACAATGTACAAAGTCCTAATACCGGTAATGATAAAGTCAAAATACCTCTAAGGCAAGAGTTAAATGTAAAACGTCAAGTGTTAATTAATGACAAATGTTTTGTGGGAAAATGATTTTAATAGGTCCTGGACAATTACTATTATTGTTACAATTAACCTAGATCTTTTATTAATAATTTCAGACCTATCGTCAAATTATATGGAACTAATGTATTCAGACACAGCAGCACCAGTTGGATCAACCGCCTTTAGAGTAAGAAGTTTGATGGATTGTGTGACGTCATGTGTATTGGATTGTTCGTGTCAAGCTATTCACTACTCTGGAGATGAATGTCGCCTAATGACGTATTATTTATTAGACTCTATCTCGACCACACCCACTGATATTATCGGTAACATATATGCAAAGGTTTAAATGAACAGTCTGGGGTTGTTTAGTCAACTGCAATATATAAATTGCAATGAAGACCTTTAGTATCTTTTGTTCTTGATCAGTGTAGATCTAAGGGACTTTTTGATAGTTTATCATGGTTCAAGTTAATATGTTTTATTGTTGGTAGATATTTACCCGCACACCGCCAGTCTTAAGAAATTATATTGTAAATATTAAATGTTCAGTTGGTAGGGGATTAGCCAGCAGCAATTCGGGTAATTCGGAACGAATGGGACAGGACGTCTTGCGAACGTCTCTAACAATGTATGAAAATAACAATGTCTTCAATAATTTACTTTAATCAAAACATCATCAAGTACTAACACGTATATGAAAAACATTTCCAAACAAATATAGACAATAAAACATGACAATAATCTACTGCCGATCCCTGCCGATGATATCAACATGCTCCCCTAGACAATGGGATAAGCACATCACATAAAATGACTCGGCAACATTAAACATGATTAGGGACATGGAATTTACATTGGTAATGATTACAAATTAACTACAGAACAAGATTAAGGAAGGATAAATTCACCAAATACTTGTGCCTACGGAAATATGATGAATTACGAAGGGTACACATAAAATGGAAAGTAAGACGTTAAACGAAAATATTAACTGGTCCGGCCACAAGATGTTTGTGTTCTTAATATAGAGTAATAAATAAGATTAGTTCATTGTAATTAAAAAATCGCAATGAAAGATCTTTAGTATCCTTTGTTCAAGTTCAGTGATAGTATTTATGCGTACAAATTGATAAGTGTAAAGTTTGCTATTATTTGTGTTCTTAATATAAAACTAACATACGATAGATACCGACTGTGTACTTATATAAATCTCACATATAAGATTGATATACTGTTTGTTTTTAATATAAATCTAACATACGATAGATCTGACTATGTACTTAATATAAATCTAACATATAAGATGAATATACTGTTTGTGTTCTTAATATAAATCTAACATATACGAATGATACTCTTTGTGTTCTTAATATAAATCTTATAAAAATGAAATTCTGATACATCTAGCTGTGATGTAATAGTGGACAGTCAATTAATTACTATCGAATATAAGTTTTGAAAATCCCCAAGCCATCGTTCCAACGGAAAATTAAATCTTTCTATAAATGATTTAGAAAGTGAACGCATTTTGTGGTAAACTGAGAAGTGGTACTCGTGCACAACACAAACCCATTACTAAATACATCAATATCGATGGGGCCATACTATATACCGGAAAACACAGGAAAACACCGGAAAACAACAGGAAAACACTGGAAAACAACAGGAAAACACCATTTTATACTGAATACCGGAAAACATCCTAAATACCGGAAAACACCCTAAATAGGTAACCCGGATCCTGGTCCTCTAGTGAGCGCCGATGAAGGAAGGTCAAGGTCATTACGATGTTCGTTTTACAAATAGCGCCCCCCCCCCCTCAAAAAAAAAAAAAAAATTCCGGAGGGCCCCATTATATGCCGGTTGCGCCGGTCTCCTGATTCTTACCAGTAACGCTGGAATCAGGGTGGTACGAATTAGTGGAAGGCGCGACTAGGCCAACTCCTCCCTAGGTAACAAAAAAATCGCATCATAAAACAGCAAGTATCATCAAAAGCGAATTAATAAATCTCTGAATAGTTCGAGTTGAAGTTCCAGGTTTAACCGCTATGTGTCCTAATCACCAAACGAAATGGATGCCACGCAATTCTTGGACAGGCGGTAATCTGAAAAGTGTCTCCTTTCCAAGAGCTATCCATCTCGTTGGAAGGGCTAAAAATCTACTTGTTTCTGAGCTTACTTTCATTCCAGGATCAAATATAATCATTTGAATCATAATAATATTCAACATATTCCATGGGCCGCACACATGTTTTTTTTTCTGGATTACTTTTCGAGCTTTTTTCCCCAACTTGTTGACCAGTTTTCCTTGAGAAAACCCCAACTTTCGCCTAATTGTCCATAAGAAAAGTACATATTCTATCTTATTACATTGACGGGAAGTGGTAAGCTGGACGTCTGTAAAAAGGGTTGATCGATAAATTTTCAAGGAAGCAATTGTTGTTTTTGTTTGTGAAATAGAGGACTCTAGCCGATGAGGCTACTTTCTCCGAGAGAACCCCAGGCAACCAATTTGTTTTATGTACTACTATCGTAATAAAACATTACTGTGTTAACCACTTCCTGGTGGCTGAAGACTTACACCGAATGCGTATTCGGAAAAAAATGTTCCCGAGAAAATGTTTTTTCCGACAATCGATATTCGAGATGTCTTCTGTTGCACAAATTATACTGCACTGTGTAAGAACTTGCATCCTTTGATCTGAAGATTGTAGATCGAAAAGTATCATTTGCACTATTTCAAAGTAAACCAGCATTTTCGTATATCATCCCGTAATTTGTGATTAATGACAATGACTGTAGAAATAATATGGCTTGAGGAACGAGAGATCTATGTTCGTCACGTGACTGGACAATTCCACCCCCGTCCCACTCTGACGATGATCCCTCCCGGAGCGGCGCGGCGCGGCGCGCTCTCTAAAAAAATTTCGGGCACAGTTTATTCTTCTAAGTTTTCCGGTCGCTATTTAGTAACCCGGAGTTTGGTCCTCGTGTGTGGTTTTGGACAAGGTGAGCGCTGATGAAATAAGTTCATTAACATACAAGCGAGCGATCGCCCACGGTCAAAGAAAAATTTCTTTTCAGATTTTTTTTAACAATTTCTTCTCCAAAATTTCTCTCAAAAAAAAATTCTAAATTTTCCAGTATTTTTCTCTGTAAAATTATTTTCTATGGACTGTTTTTTTGTAAAACCAATTTTTCGGAAAAATTCGATTTTTTTTTTTTTTGTGACAGAAAATTTTTTTCGTCAAAAATTCGAAATTTTTTTCCAGTATTTTTCTCTTTAAAATTATTTTCTACTGAATGTTTTTTTGTAAAACCAATTTTTCGGAAAAATTCGAATTTTTTTTTTTTGCGACAGAAATTTTTTTTAGTCAAAAAAAATTTGGGAGAAAAAAAAATCGGATTTTCCGGTATTTAGGATGTTTTCCGGTAAAAAATGTTTTTTTCCGGTTGTTTTCCTGTGTTCCTGTGTTTTCCGGTATATAGTATTGTCTATATCGATGTCCCATCAAAGCGACATACTTTTTAGCGATTTTAGTTCATGTGGGGGACTCCTCTTGCATTTACACTGATTCAAGGTAATTGTACGATAAGTCACAGAGGCGAATCGCGTCGAAATTCAGAGTCGTCCATAATTTATGATAATATACCTTTTCATTGACCCTGATACTGAACACTTGGTTGGCAAATATCTCTCGCATGGCGACGATCATATTTCTGAAGCAATGTCCCGAGAAATCCCTCTCTGGCCATTACTGGATTGGCTTCTGATACTTGAGCTTTTGAGGTAGTGTGTCTATTCTTCCCGTTCAATCAAATCTATCCTTGACAGCCCTTCTTTTAATCTGGGTCTTTCCTAAAACTTTGGACAGTGATTTAAGGTATTAAAAACGGCGAAAGTATTGTTTGTCTACAGACAGTATTGTTTACATTCTATCCGTATTGATAGCCTCGTTTGTCATGCAATTAGTTTTTGTGCAATATTCTGCTATGCACCGGTTAATTGGACGTAATAAAATCGTGAGTCGTGACGTAACGTTATGTAAACACATTTGGTCCAATTTGGAGCTTTGTTTAAAGAGTAATCATATTGTTACGCAGTTAGGTATTGGTTGTTAATCGGACTATTGACCAGTCATAATTTGGAACAGAAATGTGCTTCCATTAAAGCAGTGTTTAGTGGGATTAACTCTAATCAAACGAAACACTGCGGGGAGTATGCGCGACGACATGTTGTTTGAAAGTGAAGTCGATCTACATGTTTAATCAGAAATGACGGTGGTAGGTGTGTGTAGAGGCGGGGGAGGGGGGGCACACACAATAAAAAGCTGGTGACTTAAACTCAGGTGACGACACATCCGCTTAACTATCATGCGGATGGATATACCAAAACCAACGGCACGACTGGATACCTTGACGAGCAGCGAACAACCGCGTCCTAAGTTTGTAAATAGACATAATATAAATAAAATCATCTATTTTATTAAACTAAAATAATTGTATTTAATATTCTTCTCCACCTTCTTCCTCTCCTTCACCTTCTACAGAATCAACACCAACTTCTTCATAATCTTTCTCTAGTGCAGCCAAATCTTCTCTAGCTTCAGAGAATTCGCCTTCTTCCATACCTTCACCAACATACCAGTGGACGAAAGCTCTCTTAGCGTACATCAGATCAAATTTATGATCTAGTCGAGCCCAAGCTTCAGCAATAGCAGTAGTGTTACTCAGCATACAAACTGCTCTCTGTACTTTGGCTAAATCCCCTCCTGGTACAACAGTTGGTGGTTGGTAGTTGATACCGACTTTAAAACCAGTTGGGCACCAGTCAACAAATTGGATGGTTCTCTTGGTCTTGATGGTGGCGATGGCAGCATTGACATCCTTGGGAACAACATCTCCTCGGTACAACATGCAACAAGACATATACTTGCCATGACGAGGATCACATTTTACCATCTGGTTGGCAGGTTCAAAACATGCGTTGGTGATTTCAGCCACGGTGAGTTGTTCATGGTAAGCTTTCTCAGCAGAGATGACTGGAGCATAGGTAGCAAGAGGGAAATGGATACGTGGATAGGGAACCAAGTTGGTCTGGAACTCAGTAAGATCAACATTAAGGGCACCATCAAATCGTAGAGAGGCGGTGATGGAGCTGACGATCTGGCCAATCAAACGATTCAAGTTGGTGTAAGTTGGACGTTCAATATCCAAGTTACGGCGACAGATGTCATAAATAGCTTCATTATCAACCATAAAAGCACAGTCAGAATGTTCCAAAGTGGTGTGAGTGGTCAGGATAGAGTTGTATGGTTCAACCACAGCAGTGGAAATTTGTGGTGCTGGATAAATGGCGAATTCCAACTTGGATTTCTTGCCGTAGTCGACACTCAATCTTTCCATGAGAAGAGATGAGAAACCGGAACCGGTTCCACCACCAAAACT